AAATATAAATAATTCATCACTGGTTATGGTTAATTAGCAGCTGTGATAAAAGTTACTTACAGAATATGTCATAAGTTATTGATTATACATTATTTATAGTTAGTAATGCAGCGATATGAGCACTCCATATTAGTTCTTTACTAATGTAATGCACGGTTAATTAGTAGGTATTAGCAGGCAACCTACTAATATAGATATTAGTAGGTTAATTAGTACATATGTTCTATTAGTTTACATGTAGCAAAGCAGATTTTGTAGCCCTCATTTTAAATGGGCTACATTTTCAGCCTTTTAGCGGTAGATGCCCTAAATGTAACACAATAGGACTGAAAAAAACGCAATTGATGAATGCAGGCTATGACCCAATTAGCTTATCTAATTAAAAATAATGGCGATAATGATAGGCCTTGCTGATGCTGCTGAAATAAGAGGTTATACTTCCCCAAAACTCAACATTGCGATGAGCCAAGTCTATAACTTCATGATTGTGTCTCACATTTTTTCTGCTGGGTGTGAAATCCATCAGTTCAGAGGCACAAGGCGAAGGCATAAAGATGACAGAGGAAGTGAGACTTTGTTTCACGCATGCAGCCATTTACAACCAACATTACTTAATCATGACACAACTCCGCTGCTTTATTGCATTCCCCCTCTGTATTTCACTGTGCCTGTTAGTGGATATGCTAGTTTCTTTCTCTATATATTCAGCCTCGCTTCAGTTACACAGAGGGATTAACATGTCAGCCCCGTTCAGACTTTGCAGATGTCGATAAGAATTGCTCATGGCTCTACCCGCCGAGCGGGCTCTGTCCTCTGGCTGCAGTTTAGCAATTGAGACATCCTTCAAAACGTCTTGTTGAGACAGATTTTTCAGGTCAGAGGCAGGGGGACCGAGGAGAGGGGAGAAACAAATTAGATAAGTGAGGTAAGCCCCTGGAGATTGTGTCGGATTGCCTATAGATCTTTCTCACAGCAGATATTTTCACATGTCAAAGCAGGAAATCCAGGGAAGATTAATAGGGCTCCATTCCACCACAGGAAAGATTTTGGAGCTCTGCACACTGCTTCATTGTCAAACCAGGACGTTAATGCAAAAATTGGGCTACGTGAAATAATGAATAACTTTTTATTACACCCTTAAAATGAGGTTTATAATGACTTGAAGGAGGGCTGCACTTTCACTGGTGCCTTGCAGCTACAAGGTCTTGGGTTCAAATTCCAGCTTGGGGTCTTTCTGTTCTTCCCATGCAAGTTCTCTCTGGGTACTCCAGCTTTGACTAGGCCGCTTTAACACATGGATACGTTTTGATCAAAATAAGGGGGTTGAACAAAACACAACTCAAAAATTCTTAATAGGAAAGTTGTCATTTTTATAAAACCACCATTTTAGATCTACTTTTAGGTTTCTCTCTAGAAACAACATTTCTAGAGAGGCTAGATATATTTTCTACTGTTGTCCAGAGGGGGGAGAAACCGTCCATCATCAGGTGGGTTCATCAGTTCGCAACCAGTTTATGTACATGACTACTTATTAAATGTGTGGAAGAACTTTTCTTTTGTGGTCAGGAACCCAGAAAGGTTTCCAGCCCCGAGGCCCAAATCCTTGTAAATCCGGCCCTGCTTCCTCGGCACAGCTTTTGTCTGTTACACAGTAAACTAATAAAGGCCACAAATTGAACGCGAAACGAAAAGTAGCTCTGCCTCTACAGGTCTTAACGCCCTGAACCGTCCAGATTTCTCCGGTGATGCGTTCCGACGCGCCTCTGAACGCCTCACTCCGGGAGCAAAGCGGCAGGCCGGGATGCGCTGCACATTATCTATTAACTCTGAGGGAAAGTGGATGTAACAACCCGGCTCGGGTCGGAGTGAAGCCTCGCGCTAAGCGCCTGCCAAAGCCATTCAAAGTCTGGCAGAGCTAAAGGCGCCTCCTCTTTGACATTTTGACAAATGCCATGCTTGACAAGCTCTAAAAAAGGCGTTTTATGCTCTAAAGAGCATTTCTTCCCCCCTCCTCAAAGCAGCGACGAACCGGAGAGCAACGTGAACATCTGTAGGCCTCGGAGTCTTCATGGCCTCCCTGTTAATTCAGCTGCAGCGCAGAGCAGGAGGATGAGGAGGAGGAAGAAAATGAGGAGGTCACGCTCCCGAGTGTTTGCTTGAGTGCTTCACTGCGGGATCAGGAGCTTCAACAGGCGGCCAGGCATTTAAATAATTGTTTTCAAATGTCTTCCTTAATATCAAGATGCCATTACTCTCCATCCCGCGGCTGCTCCTAATGGAAGACGCTCCATGCGCGGCCACGGAAGCGGAGGCGCAGGAACACGGAAGGAAGACACTCGACGCGGATTGGCTCATTAGGCGCACGAGGGGCTCAGTGGCGCGCGGACTCCTCGGGAGGAACGCGGCGGACTCCGCGAGCCGCGGCTGCAGAGACGCGTTTTCCGAGCGTGGATTCGGATTTTAATTACAGGCGAGGACACTTCGAGGTTTCCTTGAGTGTTTTATTCTCGCTCACATGTCTGAGCTTCGGAGAGTTGGGTTTGGTGATGAAGCTTAATTACTGTAAACTGCGTTTAATGCCGTAATCAGAATTTCGCGCATGCAGCTGGTGGATTTGGCCCCGAGGAGAAGAAAACAGATGAGCATCAACAGCAGCCCGTTTATTGAGGATGGGAATCAGCTGAGAGCTCAACAGGACACAGAGGAGCATAACGTGTAGCTGTGGATGGAGGTGGAGGGGAGGACGGGAGGAAACTCCACGAGAAATAGAAAAATAAGGACATTAATCAGGTTTATAGCGGGTCATAAACATGGCAAGTAGGCTACTACGTTACAGCTGCTCAGTGAAAGCCCAGATTTTTAATCCGAGAGCCCGGCTCGTTTACAAGGAACACCTTATTGATTTTATTTACTTGTGCATTCACTGCTGCCATTTATCCACAGCCCTCCCCTCCACGTGTCAGAATGCTTCACTTAATCAGTGTACAGGCAGTAAAACCCAGCGAGAACGTGACCTTATAAACATGACGTGGTGCAGAAATATATGGGCAGCTGTGCTGTGCTGCTGGGCTCCTCACACAGAGACAGGAGTTCAGGAGAACTGCACGAAATGAGCCAGAACGGAAAGTGGACGCAGCTCCTAGCCAAAAAAAAAGTGAATCCACGTTGAGAATTTTCACATTGTGTCATGTTAAAGCCGCAGTGTATCCTGGTGGATGTTTTTAACATAAAGATATCTGCATGTGTCTGAGGTGGAAAGAAAAGATGCAAAACAATGACGTTTTCAGCCACCGAAACAAAAATCAAGTCCAGCCGAGTGTCCAATCATTGCATTCCCTATGATGGAACACAGCGATGGCTGCATCATGCTGTTGAGGTTCGCAGGTCTAGACTTTGACTGAGCCATGAATAACATTTGAGCTGACGCAGTGCATCTCAAGCTGCTTATATTGGACTTCTTGTGTCCAGAGAGGGTAGCGATCACAGCTAAAGTCAGAGAATCCTTTCTAAAAATTGTTTGTTCTAGACGTTCAAACACTAAATATGCCTTAATATTCAATGGTGGCTTTCACTATGAACACAGTTTCTCCTAAATACATTTTTCTTAAATTCTAGCACTAATTTACTTAGATGTTAAACTTTGTTCAGTTTAAATTTAGCAAAACGGGTGATTTGACGTGTTGGGGTGCCCGAGGTGGGTTCTGGAGGGCCAGCATCCTGCATGTTTTAGTTCAACCTGAATGCAGGTAACTGCTACAACCAGAGTGCCAAGGAAAATGAAAGGCGCTCCAGGATTGGCTGCTTTTGGTCAGATAGTTGCCATTCACTGTGCAGCTTCATTATTGAAGCATTTTTATGTTTTTAAGAATCCAAGTTAGGCTGCACAAATATTTTCAGACATTATCATCTGAACACCACTGTGTGTGACATTCATATCGCAAAGGACTGTTTGGAGCGGAATAACCGAAATTATATTTTCTGAGTTATTAAGATCCAGTTTACACTTTAATGCAATGTTTAGCCAACTGGACAGATTTTATTGGCGGCAGATGATCACACTGGACAAAACTGACATTGTTCACAAAGGCTGAAGGTGGCAGAGTGGAAGAACAGATGAGAACATGAGAACAACATCAAGCAGCCCTAGAATCAAGGAATCACTGGATCTCCAACACAAAACCTAAAAACACTCATGAAACTTTCACTACATTTTTTTTTTTTTATTGCTTTTGGCTTTGGGACCATCTTGGAGGGACGCAGCAGAACTCCTGCCCATTTCCTCAAACGTCCAGGTGTCATATAGGATAAAAGACTAAAAATGGAGAGATGCTGCATTTGACTGAAAATACTTTGTTTTATGCCGAGAACCTAAAGATGTTTTTTTTTACTGAACAGAAACTCATTTAAGAAACACCTTCTCAACGTTTTGCTTTTGTAGAGGTGATGCCCTCATTTAAAGAAATAGTAATCACATTTAAAGAACCTCTAAAGATTTTAAGTAAATCATTTTTTGTTTTAACAGCTGTGAACACGCGTCGCTCTCTTTAGATTATTACAGCTTGTTTATGCTGTGAAGCTTCTGGGGAACTCAGTGAGCCAGACAGGGAGAGCAGCTTTAAACACCCAAATCTCACTACAAAACATACATTACAGAACTTTCTTCCACACTTCCTGAGCAGCCAGTTATTACATTTCCGAGGAATGACTTTCAATCATTTCACTCTTTTTTTTTTTCCTACTCCTGCACCCCCTCCCAAAATATTTCTCCGTCTCGTTTCGTCTCTCTCCCGAGGCAGAGACGATCGCTGAGCAACCTGCACAACACAACAACGCTCGGCCTGCAGCTCTGCTCGGCGAGTCCCCGCTGCTCCAGATGATGAGATACACGAGTGTGTGTCCGTCGGCGAGGAGCTCATAAACCCGGTTCCCTTCGGCTCAGAGCATCGTCTTGTATTCACAAGATCTCAGAAGGAGAAAAAAACGAGTCAGTGAATCAAGTGTGAGTTGAGACGAGTTTAATTCACTCCAGCTTTGGATTGAAGCATCAGAGACATCTAGCCGGAGAATTGTTTGGCATCTTCAAGCCCCACATGGTTCTGAATGAGCCTTAGTAGAGAATATATTGGTACAGTATTATCACTGAGTGGAAATAATAATGCTTGGCAACAGGGACGAGTTTAAAGAAGTGTGGCGGCGTTAAAAACTGATTAATTTCTAAGTGTCTGATTATAAAAAAGGCATATGTTGGATAGATAGCACAGAAGCCCTGCAACAACATGAATCCTCGCACTGGCGACAGAAACGGAGAGAAATCCCTCCTTCAAACCAGTTTTGTGTTTCTCACACACACACACACACACACACATATATTCAAACAGTAGGAAAAATAACACTCGTTTAGCAGCTGCACCCACTTATTAAAGACTTTCACAGAGCGTAGCGAGAGTTAAGCTGGCCGCTCAAAGACGAGACATTCAGAGAATCGGCACAGCGTTACAAAAATATACATCTGTGGGCATGAGGCGCGACTCGGCTCTCGGTACGTCAGCTGCTTTACAAAGGACACGGTAAGAAAAACAGGAGACTCTCGGTTTATAAAAGCAAAGGTCGGGGAAACAAATGGCACTTGTTGCTGTGGCAGTGAGGCAATCTCCAAGGGCAGCGCTGGAGCCAAACACACACAAACAAACACTCCCACAGTTACAGCTCCGGTCAGGACACACACACACACACACACACACACACACACACACACACACACACACACGCACGCACGCACGCACGCACACACACACACACACACACACACCGAATCACAGACACAAGCCTTCACTGAAGATTCAAGCGACTCCAGCAGCAGATTTTCTGGATTAAAATGACAAGAAAAACAAAAACAGATTTTTATTAAAACTTTGATTTTATCTGAACTGGATTTTTGGTCCAACCTGATGAAACTTGAACTACGACGAATGCAGAGTCATCAAGTTTGATATGTTGGATTCTGGGTTCCACACAAATCTGGAAAGGTTAGGATTTTGTAAGTCTGGAAAAAAGTATGTAGAACTATCCATCCATTAATAAAAATGTATAGGAACTGTGGTTCTTCACTGATTTGGGGTTTGCGTGTGCAAACGCTGTTGAAATTAAAATACAGGACTCTGATTATTTAAACTGACGGCTAGAAAATTGTGCTCAACAGCAAAACCAAAACACTGAATAAAATGATATTGAAGTTGAAGAAAACCAAAGATATCAAAGGTGCAGCACCGTCTGTGTGCTCTAACTGGTCAAGCTAATGGGACACTTGAGGTCTCTGCAGCTGCAGCGTTCTGGTCTTGGCTCTCCTCAGCGGGTGGGCTCAGCGGTCCGGCCCACCACAGCGTCAGTGCGTTGTCTTGCCGGACCTCCTGCTGCAGCGTTCCTCCGCCTCCTCCTCCTCCGCCTCCTCCTCCGCCTCCCTCGGTGTCGGAGGCGGAGTCGCCCTCGCCCTCGCTGTCGGTGGGCCAGGGGAACTGGCGCTGCCCGCTGGAGGTGGCCAGAATCGGCATGAAGGGGTGAACGCTGCAGAGAGGAGGCGGGGCGTTACAGCACAACGGGTTCAACAAGAGCCACACCGGCCACAATATTAGGGACACTAATTAGACTGACCAGCAGGTTCAGCACTTTCAACGTTAAGTTTTCAAACTTTTTCAGATCCAAACTTGTATCGTTTTAGAGATAAAAGCAAAACAAGTAAAGTTTCAATTCATTATGATATTATATTATTTATTAGAATTAATAAATCTAACACTTACACTAAAAAATGTTTAATTTATCAGATATCTGACGACCTCCTCTTCGACGCGTATAGAGGTCATGACCTCTGTGCTAGAGTAATACTGTATTTCTCTTATGCATTGATGTTTATCCGCTTCCTTGTTTTGAGGCTGAATTTCTGCTTAGCAACAGAGATATTTCTGGAAAAGCTGTGATGCTTAAGCAACAACCTGCAGTGAAATTAGACGCTGATCTCACTGTTAGATCCTGTTATGTCTTTTGTTTTGGTGAAAGATAATTGGGAGCACCAAACAGTAAAACACAGCAGGACAATCAGACATTAGAGCAGCTAGAGAGTCACCAAAGGAACGTAAATCATCAGAGTTTGACAAATTCCTTCATTCCCTCTAATCATCATTGCTTTTGCTCTGCTGTTAATTTGTGGAAGCGCGTTTCAATCTTTCATGCTTTAAAACCAAAAAGCTTAAATTTGAGCTCCTAAATTATGTATTTTTAATGTGAAGCTCATCTTTCTCTCTGCAGTGGGTAACTAGGACAAACTAAATGAATAGCAGTTGGGAGAAAGTTGTGGGAGGAAGTGGGTTGTGGCATCAGCTCGGTTTGAATCAGAAGTTTAGTGAAAGGATTCTACCTGACGCCGTTGGTGCAGTCCCAGTGGGCCTGGAAGCGGATCTGTGGCTGCAGCAGCTCTTCGTTTCCATCGGGGGGCGCCGTCTGAGTGTCCCAGACGGACAAGGCTCCCTCGGTGTCTCCGCTCAGCAGGTGTCTGCCTGATCTGGACGCGGAGGAAGGATGAATCATCAGGGTTGCGAGTGAAAACATGTTCTGATCAACTTACTGGTCCAGGTCGAAGTAGATGCGCTGGTTAGTGGCAACGTTCCGCTTCAGGGAAAACACGACTTTCCCCGGGTCCCTCAGGTCCCAGCACAGGATCTCTGGGTCCTAGAATGACAGGCGCACCTTTACTGAAAGTTTTCAATTCAATTCAGCTCATTTATATAGCGCCGATTCACAATAAATGTCGTCTTAAAGGACTTTACAAAAAAATATTTCAATTCAATCTCAGTTATCAAACAGCTTAGTAGTTTAAAAATATTTCTACAAAAAGAAACCTTTCTTTAATTGACTGGAGGTCAAAGTTTGGTTTAGGCAACCTTTCTATTTCTCAAATTAGAGGACAATTTGTGTCAAATATGCTCAGAAATATGGACGTCTTTGTGTCCATCTGTCATGTAAAATTACAAGTTCATTGTGGTTGTATTGTGACAAAGCAGCTGGTTTTTATTTTCTGTTTACAGATTACTTTTCAAAAGATGCCTGACAACTCGCTGCTAAATTCAAGAATAACTAAAACCCCTCGGCCTCCACTGCATGCCACAAACTGCAAGATGTTTGCAGAAACTCGCCATAATTTCCCACTTAACTGTCTGACTCCATCTTGGTGTTTACCAATATGTCATAATACACACCAGTCAGATTTCTTTTCCCCCTTTGAACAAAATGTTTGTGGAGGGACTTTAATTGTGACCTCATTGTCAAAGAATGCAGTTGTTTTGGTTTTTGCGCAGATGAAGCTGCCAGAATCCCAGACACCTGGGACAAGTTATCATCTGTGGAGAAATAATTATCCACTTTCAGCCAAAAGACGACGAAAACTAGAACAAAAACAAAACCAAAACAAGAGACTCATTATGCAGCTTTAGGGTTTCATGACACTCTGTGAAGCAAAAGCGATGGCCTAACTGCTAATTGGGATCATCACACGCTACAAAAAAAAACAATACAACTGCCTCTTTTCAACGCGTCTGTGTGCGTGCGCCGACCTTGCGGCCTCCGGTGTACAGGTAGTTGCCGTCGGGGGAGAAGAGCAGATGGGTGAGGCCTCCGTGGTGGCGGGTGGGCAGCAGCGCCAGCAGGGTGCCGTCCTGACAGGAGTAGAGGCCGGCGCAGCGGGAGTACGAGCCGCAGGCGTAGACCGACTGACACGGGCTGAAGGCGAAGCACGAGATGATGCCGCTCTGGCCTCGTTTCTTCACTGAGAAACAGGGAGAGACGTTTAGCAGAGCGATTAACCTTTCAACGCATTATGGCAGGAGTTCTGCTCACATGGATTCAACTGGGACACGTCGGAGTCAGGCTGAAGAGAGACAGTGAAACCTGCAATTCTAAGGTTTTACAAATATAAAACTGTTGAACCACACAAACATATTTCTCACTGAAATTTGTAAACCTCTCCACTTATAAATAAGTTTTGTTTCCATAGAATTTTAAATTGTTTGTTCATGACCTGTCTTGCTTCTTTTTTATTTAACTGAAAGTATTTTCTCTGTTCATTTGAGATTCAATGGAGCTAATTTCAGAATCAGATAAAGATTTTAAGTCCTGATCATATCAAATCTTGGAACTGAAGGACGGTGCATTTTCTTAGGTTCTAGTGAACATATTTTGTCTTGATCTCCTTTCTGCTGAAACATAAATCAAAAAGTCACTTTATGTGAGAAACAACAAGAAACAAGTTGAGGGGAGGAATAAAGCAACCTTTGACTTGGAAAAAATAAAAACAACATTTAGTGACATTTTCAAAAGTGTCTGTTTTGGTCCAGTTGCTTCATTCCATTAAGTACAAAGAATGACACTGGCTGTTGTTAATGTCAGCACATTCTCTTTGAACAGACAGAGAATGCTTGAAGAGCGCGACTGAAACGAGGAATTCATCACACTAAACATCTCGCTCGCTTTAGTTGTCTGAAGAACATAATAAAAGCTGCTTGTTGGTTTGTTGAAGGAGACATCAGTCAGGGTGGAGCGACAGTGAGCTGTCAAACTTATTGAAAACAGCAGACAACCGACTTCAGATGGGATCCCAACACTTAGAGCTTCTGTGAAGATTTTATTTTCCAGGAATAATGGTGTGAATACCAGCATGTGATGTCAGTCGACTTTTCTTTAAAGACATTTCAATCTGTTCTGGTAAACAGCATAATCATCACAATGACTACAATAATAAGTAACTTATGGGAGTCGAAACGCTTAAACATAACTAATAGCTGAATTTGCAATGAATTCTCAGTGAAAGGAGACACAGAAATAACATTTTAAATAATATTCGGTTTGGTTTAAGGTGAAAAAGACGAAGACTGACCCACAGTCGGGCGCTCCTCGCAGTCTCGGCCCGGTCGCTCTGTGCAGAAGACTCGGACCATCTTCTCGAAGCCGCAGTACAGCTGCTCTCCGTCGGGCGAGAAGCAGAGCGAGTGCGCTGCCGTCAGCTCGTCCAGGTGGTTATAGGGCCGGAAGCTGGCCTGCACTTTGCCATAATACGCGTCCCAAATGTGCACCGGGTTGTCGCGGCTGCTGCTGGCCAGACTGGAACAAAACGGTGATATTCCAGGTCAGGGGGGAAAAAATCATGCAGAACAAAAATACGAACTGATTAAATTTGAGCCGTTTTACGAAAAAATGGGCAAAAGTACCTGTAATATACTCGGCTAAGCCAATCGCAATGACAAATACTTAAATAAATTTTCCCTGTAACTATTGCGATAAACGATTGTGAGTTCTCCAGTAATATATATATATATATATATATATATACATATATATCTATATATATAGATATATATAGATATATCTATATATAAATATATAGATATATCTATATATATATATTTATATATTCACTGCCACAGGAAGATATTTTAAATATCAAAATATTTTTAAATACCAAAATTAAAACAATAAATAATAAAACAACCATAAACTAATTATTTAAAAATAAAAACAAACTTCAAATAACATTGAATATAATGCCTCTGTAAACAACATTGCTTTTTAAAGAATTAATAATCATCGAAATGGAAATTATCAAGCTCATTTCAATTTACAATGTAATTAATTGGTTATTGCAGCAGGCTAATGCTTTCCACGCTTCCTATTTTTATTCCCCATTATGACACGCAGCGATTTTTTTCCACTTCCGTATATTTATCTACTTTGTTGTTGGTCTATCACATAGAATATCCTTAAACTTCACAAGACATTCTGGGTTTAGTTAGGAGTTAACAGCCAACAGATCAACTCAAAGTACCAATATAACTGGATTGTCCTAGAAACTCACATCCAGCATATAAACGGAAGTAGAGAAGTTAGAAAGAAGAATGATCAACACTGGAAATATCCTCTCCGCATTAATCTCAGGTATTCTTCTAATTTAGCAAAGCCCTCGAAACTCCAGAAATGTTTTTCTTTGGGATACAAAAACGAAGTCATAAATCACAACATTTGTGTCACTTCCAACACCGTTGGCTGTCTCTGCACTGAGATAAAAGGAAGAGAGTTTATTGGAAACAGATTATTTAAAACACCAAGGACTCCTAATAATAAATCTTAACTGCAGCTCCAGGCATTTTTCTGGAAAGATACCAACAAGCAAAGAGAAAAAAAGAATGCCTTCATTCTAGGGGAAAAAGTGCTTAATGTGTAAAAAATATTAAACCAAACAGGCTGTCTGCGTGCTTTGAAATCTTCTGTTTGCAAAACAGGATTTTCAGACTGATTCCTGTTGTCGTCTCCAACATCAGCTGCTACACACCTGCCTGAGCGTATCAATGCCTGAAAACAAACACTCAGCAAACGCACCGTGCCTCATTATAGAGACGAGTCGCACCGATTCAAATCAGGCCGGAGTCGGTGCGAGCCTGGCCTTTTAAAGTTTAATTATCGAGCCCTGAACAAATGCTGAAATGTCGTGGCGGCGGCTGCAATGGCGGCTCAGTCAGACAAAAGAAAATTAGCCCCATCCTCTGCTGCGTTGCTCCGTTACGGTCCCCGTGAGCTGGGAAATGCCCAATTATAATGCTAGACTGCTGCTAGCTTGGAGCGATGCCTGAAAGCGAGCGCCGTAACGACGACCCTTAGTCCCTCTACTCAGGAGGGGGGATCTGAAACACGCAGCGCTCGGTTCAAGGAGCGACTACATTTGTTTTTCCTTTAATAATATTTCATCTGAAGCGAAGGTGGAGGTGATCTGCTTCCTGCTCCGTCCTGCCATAAACACGCTAAGCTCTCTGGTGGTTCCCTGCCCGCATGAGACGTTTGTTCATCATCCTCCTGTTTACACGGCTTTCATCTCTGCATCTCCTCTCTATCGGTGAGGGCAGCCACCATGGAGCGGTGTATGAGCTCGGGTGTGATCAGAGGGAACTGCCACAGGGTGGAGGTTTGTTACTGGGAGGCGATGCGAGCTGAGGGACGGGGTGGAGGAGGAGACGAGGGGAACGCTGCCAGGTGCTTGACCCCGGCTCGTTAGCTCGGCCTCTGAAGGTCCCGCCGCCGTTTCTGAGGAGGAAGCCTGGGTGTTGCTGCTGGCACCGAACCCCACACGCGGTGATGTCACAATTACGAGAAGAGGAAGATGAAAACGGGATCCTCATCTCACCATAAGGTGTCGTGCGGGCTCTGGAGTGCTTTCTCACGGGCCGGACCGCGTTTAAAACACGTCACCGGCCTCAAAGGAGGCAGGAAGAGGGCCGACACTTTACTGATAATGAGCGACATCAGAACGCTTTCCCAGCTTTTATTTCCCCGACATCACAAGCGGCTCCCATAACGAGCGCAAACATCCTGAAGATCAAAGAGGATCTTTCAGAAAATGAACCGTCGTTTAGTTTAGCTACAGACCCCAGAAACACTCGGCGTTAATCCCAATTTGCAAGGCGCGAGCTTCTGTTTCTCCTTTCTCTTCCTTCGCTATTAAATGTTTCCAACAAAACTATTTTAATGTCAAAGATAACTGCAGTACATACAAAAAAACTGTTTCAAAAGCTTAGATAATCCCAATCAACTTGCCCTGATGGCAGCAGCTAATTGTAACCAGGGATGAGTCGTTTTTATCCAACATTTCATTAATGTTCCAATCCAGCCACGTTGGTGTGTTCAAGATCAAGTCACAGCGTCTCAATCAGATTTAAGTCCTACTTTGACTATATTACTAAAGGTTTTGGGCACCATCAAGATCTTATATATTATATTTGACAAATCTGAAACAACCCTTTAAGTTCTTTCAGATTAGCAGTGATTTTGTCAATGGAGCCAATTATTGATGCCATTTCAGCTCGGTCTCTCTTTTTCATTGGTGAAAAATGAACATTGACCTTAACTGAAGTAATTGAAGCTTTTTCAGTTCTTAATCTGGCATTTTAGTCATCCATATGGCAGTTTTACTGTGGTTAAGTTGGAGAAAAATTGCCGTTATGGATTTGGTCGACAGATGGATCTGGATGTGGAAGGTCTAGAGGCTGACAGGGAAAATATAGATAAGAAAAGAGAACCAAACACACAACAAGAAGGTGGTCAAATCAAAAGCATTAAATATATGTTCATATGTTTTATATCCAACTGCTGGGAGAGTCTAGTTCAAGTTAGGCAGGAAAATATCAGCTTCAACTCACAAACATGTGACTGGCTCCAACGAGCTCATCTTCGGGAACCAGCAGTAGTCGTAGATGGTGTCTCCTTCAGCCATCCTGAGCACTGGGCTCTGGGTCAGGAAGAACAGGACACAAATAATGACCAATCTGTGTCTAGCATACTGCACGCCACTCCATGCTGCACATCTGGGTTCAACGTTTATATACAGTACAGACCAAAGGTTTGGACGCAACCTTCTCATTCAATGGGTTTCCTTCATTTTCATGACTTTTTATAAGGCAAGAAAGCCCACTTATTAACCTGACAGGGCCCACCTGTGAAGTGAACTGTTTCAGGTGACGACCTCTAGAAGCTCATCAAGAGGATGCAGAGTGTGTGCAAAGCAGGAATCACTGCAAAAGGTTGCTACTTTGAAGAAACTGCAATATAAGGCGTATTTTCAGTTGTTTTACACTTTTTTGTTTGGTACATATTTCCACATGTGTCAATTCACAGTTTGATGCCTTCAGTGTGAATCTAAAATGTCAATAATCATGAAAATAAAGGAAACTCATTGAATGAAAAGGTGTGTCCAAACTTTTGGTCTGTACTGTACGTCTGTATCAGTAAATAAAACTTAAAAAAAAAAACATTACAAAATTGAAACTTTGGTATTTTAAGTTGAGGAAAAGTAGAAAAACTAAGATATGATTATCACAGCACATGCTCTTGTATAACAGAAGGCTGATTTGAAGTTAAATGTAGAGTCAGGAATGTTAAATTAATGACAGTCGGGCATAAGACGAACAGCAACATATCAGATTCTGGTCCTTCCCAGTAAAGTGTATCAAGGCATGAAATGAGATTTCCAAGGACTTCAGTAAAAGAGCTACAATAAATTTCTCTTCTGAGTTTAAAAGGCTGTTTAATGGCCTGCAAAGAGTGGTCTGTCTGTAAGCTGGAGGAACTGGGGAACACAAGAGGACAAAGCATCAGATGAACGTTTACCAGAACATGGAGTAACTGAAAATGGATGTGTAGTAAATAGTTTAGGTTTCTCTTTTTCTCTTCAACAAAGAAAGGTTAAAAACAGCTCTTCAAGAGGAAATGCTGAGTGAATAAATACAATCCTCCCTTTAAAATAATGATGAAGATGGTTTTATGTGGCGTTATTCTGATCAAGCCACATCTCGTAAATATTTAGAGAAAAAAAAATACTCCAACATCCACAAACAGACAAAAGTTGCTCAAAAAATCAATTCATGTTAAGCTGATTTTAAAGATTAACCTTTTCATGGCTCCACCAATACAGTTAAAGCTTAAAAACAGCAAAATTTGAGTTTTTATAATACTGGAAATGATGTGCAGAGCTTATGGGAAACGCTAAGAGCATTCCAGAGCTTTAAAGTGGGTTTTATGAAGTAATGAGCCTTGCAGCTTTTCCTCATATAATCACAAGCTGAGACGTTTTTTCTCATTTGTCGGGCTGGAAAATTTGATGCTTTTACATCACCTCCTTGCAAGACAATAAAATTGTTAAAAAGTAAAAAAATAAATAAATCTCAATCGTTCGTAAATTTGCAAGTACCACTGTATGGGATTAGAGGCAATAAAACAGGCTATAACTCGCAGTAAAATTCAAAGGCCGACGGCTGCCTTTGAGAAATAAAGAAATCAAGCTCAATTTTCTCCTCTCGTGAAAAAAGGCTGGGAGATCTTTGCGGAGGAAAATGGATTACATTTCAATTATTTTTGTTCAGTGATCCCGATCTGCCAGCCCATAATAGAAAAAGAGAGATTGGCTCTGCGCTCGATATTTTCGCAAATCTTAAAAAGACGCGTCGGCCATTTTCTTCTACCCGTTAAATCCTCAGAAATACATTTCGAGTGACTCAAAATGTGGGCGGATGGATTGGTGCGCCTGAGGCAGAGGGAGACGGTCGGCTGGACAGGTGGAGAGGACGTATGAACGGCTGAGCAGGCAGATATATTTAGACGATTAGTTTCGGTACAAAGTTGGGTGAATGAATGGCTTAGGTTTTGGTAGAGTCACCACAACAATGTGTTTTATGACATATTTATTATCTCTTAACCTCAAAAGGTGGCATAATCAAATATTTGCATTTAGTATAATAATTAGGAAACAATAAAGACAATAGACACCTGCAAGTATTATTGAAAATCTTATTTTAACTATTTTCTCCACTGTTTGTTCCACAAGAGCATCAATAAATATCAGTAAATATGGAAACATTATTAAATGTAGTTACTGTGTGCAGTTTTGGTGATATAAATCATATTTCTATTTCAAATGGGAATGTTTTTCAAGAAAATTTGTGTTTGTGGTGCTTTGACGCCATGGAGTACCTAATAGTACAAAGCTTTTTTATCATCACCATGAGCACCAACTCTTTCTCTAAAAGGCACTTCATTTTTGTTTTCAATTTCATGAAAAGTAAAAATAAATTCAAACATAAACTGATGCTACAAATAAATATTTAAATACACAAAATGTTGCTTCTTTAAAATCTGAATTGTCAATAATGGTTCCAACTATTATTTTCCAAACAGAAAAACATTCGCCGATTTCTAACTCACCATCTCAGGGATGGAGTCCCAGCTGTAGCTGTAAATCTCTGGAGGGAGGTTGTACACGCGCAGAACGTTGTCGGCACTGTTAGTCAGGATGCAGGAACCATCGGGAGCCCTAAATGGAGGAGACGGTTCACTTAATATCGACTCAACTTGCTTCATGTTGAGTTAGCTGTTAATAATATTGTCTCTGCCAAAACACAAAGATCATGATTGATAAGAGTGAAAATCCTCCTTTACCATTTGTTTTAGTGGAAGGAAGACATTTACTAAACTTAAAATAACTTATGAGTGATTAGGTCAAACAGAAATAAATATACAACAAATCACTCAGAAAACCACCTGTTCCAGTGTTTTTTTTTTCATGTTTATTGTAAATCAGGATTACCATTTGCAACCTTTCAGGTAATTCTCTGGAAAGCTGGAGTACTCCGTCCGGGAATCAGTCAGCATTGAGGGATTCTGGGTAAAATCCAGGTTGAGGCTGGGAGAAAAAGAGAAATGAGACACGACACCCATAACAGCCGAAGTTTGATGTTGGTAGAAAATAAAGGAAGTTTGTGGAAAAGAAAAAAAAAACTGTCATTTTGCAAATTAAATGATTTTCAAATGTTGTACTGTCTGAATTATTACAAAGCTTAAAAATCAACAAACATTCATGTGTTTGGCCTGATGGGGGCACTACAACTGTATACAAAACATGTGAAGGATTTTTCTTTTAATTTAAGATTAAACAAGAAAAAAAGAAATGTGTGCTTCAACAAACGCATCGAGTTCATGACACTGAATTAAAAATAACCAAAATTAGATTAAAATTTTTCCTGGAAGCAATCAAAATAGTTTGAAACTCCACCATGTGTAAAACAATACCTTCTAGCTTTGCATTTTCTGTCTGCTGTCTCTCTTGTGCGACATTTTAAATAAAAGTCAAGAGTACAAAATAAAAATTTGAGCAAAAATTCTTTAACTTACTGCTGTCCTGTTGTGGGGCTGTCTGCTGCTTCATCGCCATCACACTCCTCCTCTTGTCTCGTCTCCTCTCCTTCTGCAGCATCAGGTCCTCCGTCTCCGTTCTGGTGGCATTCTGCTACGTCTTCATCTCTCTGATCTTCTCCCTCAGGTTGCTGTAACTCGTACGTTGCTATAAAAAAAATACAATTAAAATCTGAGTACAATATTTCTGTCACATTACCAATTTTTAAACACACTCAGTGTTCTACTTTGTGCCGATGTGGAGGTGTCGCCCTGTGCAGATCCAGACTCCCTTGGTGGTCCATCTCCTGGCTCCTCCTCTCTCATCCTGGAGCGCTTGGCTGATGGTGGAAGCTCATCCTCTTGGGTCTCCTGCTCTACCTGCTCAGAATGACAGAGTAGCGTCGGGACCTGTTGAGGGGGCTCGCCATCTGCTTCAGAGTCCTGCCCACCAGCCGCCACGCCTCCGCTCTCTCCACCTCCAGCTGAATCAGACATGGCTTTATCGTTCCTCCTCACAGGATTTTGAGGCCCACAGTCCGGCGGGGGGCTGTCAGACGTGGGTGAGGTAAGTGCTACTGGGATAGTGCTTCCTCCTGCAGTGTGGACGGCTGAGTCTGTCGGGGTTTGAGGACATCACCCACCTAGAAAAAACAGAAAGTGGGTAAAGATAAAAGCCCGGTTTTCAAGGAATATTTTTGCTTGTGTCAAGACAAATCAAAGACATGATTGCTGCCTGTATATACATGCATGTCCATGTAATGTAACGCTGTGGGTCATTTATTCAATCTACAGTGGAGCCGCTGAACTGAAAGGATCCTATGAACTAGTCATTAAAGTAGAAAGTCACAGAGAGGAAAGCAAGTATTTTTACACAAAGATAGAAACATCCAAAAACAAATTAAAAATACTGCACAGCAAAGGCACAATTTCAACACACTGGCTAGGTTTAAGAAATAGCTGACAACGACAACTGAATATGACAAACCTTTAGCGTAACAACGTATACATTTGCATGCAAGCTGCAACTTGAATAAATGTTGCCATTATTAAAGAAAAAAGTATATATATATATATATATATATATATATTATATATATATAATATATATATATATATATATATATATAAAGAAACGCCTTGAAAATGCTCCTCCAAACACCTGTGGCGAGTCGTGACAGCTCAGATACTTCAAAACGGTCGGGCGTTATTTTAAATTAACTGCATAAATATATTCACAAATACATTTCCCTCCAGCCCTGCGGCTTCCCCCACACCACCACATTAATATTGACGACGGAGAAAGCAAATGTTTTGTGTCTGGGGCATAGAAACAGCCACCAAAGCTCTGTTTAGCTTCAGTTAGCATTAGCTTGTGCTAACAGTATGCAGCTACGCACCTGCTGTAGCTCTTCTGACCGTTGACGCTGAGCTTCGTGTCCTTTCCCCTCTTTGCGGCTTCAAAAGTTTTCACACAAGCGAGGAACACAAGAAAGCCCGCAGATACAAGTCGACGTCTTTTTTGCAGGGAACTTCTGCGCTGCTTACCAGTTCATCGAGAAGTTGTAAACACAAGTGGGTAGCCATGTGTTTGGAACTATCGCGAGAATTCGTTTACACGGATTTGAGATTTGCTCCCCTCCACTTCCGCGTCAGGTTTTCTCTTGAATACTTCAGAATTTTGTTTAGAATGGATCTCGGGAAAAGAAAAGGTATCAGTTATTTTGTGTATTTAGCTGTACTTCAGTTACTGAATTGAAACCTAATAGATTACATAGGCCTGAGAAAGACTGTTAATCTGACAGTAGCCCAGCATCCAATCATATCTTAGAAAAACTTGGTGGAAGGAAAAACATCATGGATTGACACTTTCAAAGGATGTGAAGTAAAGTCCATTCTAAACTAAAAGTAACTGTAATTGTGTCTTACCTGGACTGGGAAAAGAAAAAAAAAAGATTTTACTTTTCTTTGGTGGTCCAGTCTTTTTCCAAATAAATGTTTTGTTAGTATGCAGTAACCTGTCATCAAAATTCACATAAATGAATGTCGAAATGTAGCACTGTTACAAATGTATACATTTTGTATTAAATTACTGACCAAAATGAACTGCAACTATATTGTATTTTCTGATGCGTTTGTAAAAGAAAAAACACAGTAGGAACAGCTAAATGCCATTTATTTTGTATTTATTTTGTTCTTCAAACAGGAGCCAAACTATTTACACATTTTTTTCACTTGTTCTTTTTCTGAAACGGTTTCATTAAATGTACAGTTTGCTGTCATTTTAACAACATTCAAAAGACTCAAACCAAAGGGGAGCTGAGCTGACTGGGATACAATTACTGTGAAATCACAATCAGATTTAAATTCGCTGCAACAGAATCACATGATCAATTTAATAAGTGTGCAACCTATCATCCTTTTTCCTTTACTTTTTTGGACAACATTTCTGAAGTTTATGTAATATTAAAAGCCTTTTCAGTGCACTAAAACTACCAAATGTCATCTTAAAAATATGCTAAAGTTGCTTAAAGTAGATTCTGAATAATTATTTTTGTGCAAATGCATATCTTGTTAAATTCAAACATTTGGTCGCAATTTAACAATTCTAGCCTAATGGAGTCTTCTGCAACTTCTCAATGAGAACTAAGGAAGATAATTAGACGCAAGTTGGCGAAAATCATCAGCTGCTTAGATTAAAAATGACATTCTGCAGTTAGCAAAGGTACAAAAATAAATTGATTAAAAACACTCAACGCTTCAAATCTCTTTAGTTCAAGGGTGGCCAAGTCCAGTCCTTGAAGGTGACCATCCTGCAGCGTTTAGATGAATCTCTTTTCAACACAAATAGCTTCTGACCAGGCATCTACCGAGCTAAATAACATGTTTATGAGAAAATTCAGGCGTGTTGGAGAAGAAAAACTTGTAAACGTTGCAGGACGGTAGATGTTGAGCGCCAGAGTTGACCACCCCGGACCGAAGAGGCTTCACCTTCAAATAGAAACAAAGCGGCAGAAGTCAATCATCTAAAGAATCGGGCCAGTTTTTTCTTTGAGCGGCTCTGATTGGCAGATCAGGGTTACTTTCCATTCCTGCACATTAAATGCAGCAAAAATAAGAACTTCCACCATTTTCGACATCAACGACACGTACTTCAACAGTTTAATGAAAATCAGAGAAATGTTCGAAACTTGTGTTTTGATCAGTGGTATTTCTTCACTGCTCTCCACCCAGGGAGAAATGTCCTAGAGTGGGTTGGGAGGTAAAAAATATTAAATAGAATAACCTGCAATATTGCATTGTAAGGAAATTTTTATAGCTTCATTGCATGTTCAGTCAATGAGGAGCAGCGCCCCCTGGAGTTTTTCACTATTAAAAAAAAAGTAACTTGCTACAGATGCTACAGTTGGTCTCTGATCTGCAATAGATATTATTTTTTTAAACAAACAGATATTTGATCACTAGTTTAAAATCCAAAATGCTTACAGGCAAAGACTGGGATGAAAAAAAAGTCAGTATTAAACCGATAAAAACTTCAGATCTTATTGAGAAGTTATGAAGTGTTAAGAGTTTTGCTTCCGAAATGGTATCGATCCGGGTTTTGTTTGGTTAAATGTGGGAACTGCCACTGGCTTTGACGCATAAATGGCAATCTTGCAATTCTGTCACATCCGTTCAAAATTATTACCCCTATAAAGTAATCTGCTGTGAATGTTTCTAGTTTTTTCTTTACTGTAAAAGTTATTGAACAAAAACTAGAAGATGACAGAATCAGAATTCCAGATCTTAAAAATACAGATGTCAGGACTAGTCATGAAAACCTTAATCAACAGATATCCAATTATAAAGCTTCCTTTTAAAGCCTATATATATATATATATATATATATATATATATATATATATATATATATATATATATAATTTTTTTTTCTTCTAAAATTGTACAATTCTCCAGGAGTGTAAAAAGAGTCCAAATGCATTAACTCGTATCTGAAATTTAAGGATGACTAAATGTACCCAAACTCCATACTGATGCAGCACAGCGAGGGGTTTGTTATTGACACGCAACCCGGTCAGCTCGGCTCCCCGGAGTTCAGACCTTCAGAAAACAACAAAACAAATCAACTCCGAACAAATTCACTCTGCGTTTTCATGAAAACAAAAGAGCAACAAAAGTCCAACCACCAGCAAAGTTCGATTTAGAAAAAAAAAATATTAAAGACTTGTTGCTCTACTCTGTAGTTAGCTAGTAACTTTTAAAGGTGATTGGATGTATATGTCAGGAGGTCTATACACAACAATTCTGTTAGCCAACAGAACGAAAGCGCTGTTGAAAACTTTGTTCAACCTGAATACAGTTAACAAGATGGTTTCCAACTAAGGTTTATCATCGAGAACATTTTCAGTTAGTCATCCAAGACTCGGCTATACAATTTAAGGCATGTTGAACAAAGAAATAAAGCAAAACCCCACAATGAGAAATAAAACAAACAAAAAAAAAGTCATCCAAACCAACTTTTACATTATTTACAAAGCGCACCACTTGAATTGATGAGCGCTGATGTGTTTGTGTCTCTGTGAGTTGATATTTATGGATCCCTATTATGTGTAACCTCCTCTGGAAATGTGCATGTAGTGTATATTTGCCGCTCCTTTGGACTTGAGAATTTTCTGGGACGTGTTTGTGTGTTTAGTCGTGTTTTAGAGTCTTTTTTTTGTTGTTTTGTACAAGTCTATCCAGTCCCAAGGCAGCAGGGATTTCAAACAGCCGCCATCTTTCTGCGTTTTCTTGTCCGAGACCTCTTAGACAGAATGGGGCCGGTTATTCTCCAAAGTCTCAGGTTGAGACCATTTTTTTTTGTTGCCCTAATTCTCATCAGAGAGCGTCTGATCAAACCCCGAGCCAAACGCAATGGGTGATGAACTGTCCGACTGATAATGCCGATGGCCTGCCCGGTCCGAGGACGAGACAAGTGTCTTGGGGTAAAAGTTCGAAAGAGCAGGTTTAGGCGAGCTGATTCATGGGTCGGCCGCAGATTAAATCCTCGTCACAGAGGGCAGCAAATAAAGCAAAGCCAATCGCCTGAGAAGAGGACACAGAAAGAGAGAAAACAACTTAAAGTCACAAATTATAACAAGGTTGACCGTACTTACTTTAGAAGGGTGGAAGACTTTAGACTGCGGCACATTTCTTATTGGAAAATACTCAGAACAACTGAAAAGTCTAAAAATCTCAGTGAGTCTGAGAACACTTGGCATGTCTCCATGGCTTTTTTTCATTTTAATGTCGCCAACTGGCAAAGTTTGGGAGAACAACTCAACTGTCACTCTCTAAAGAAAGGAACTGGGTTGGATGTTTAGGAGCATCTTAATTTGCACTCTAAAAGAAACCAGACCTAGTGGAGTTTCACCAAGATTGCACTCACATGTAAAAACTTGGAGGATTTTGACACCTTGGAGCAACATTTTTAACAACTTGTAACTGTTCTCAGCAGGTTTTACATCCAGTGAACTGATTGATGAAACAAAAGTATCAATAATTATTTCCTGTTCAGTATGTAAAACAGCATTTTCTGAGATGATAAATACAGGAACAAACCAGAGACTTGAAACGTGCATTCAGAATAAAACTGGGTTCAAAAGTTATGCCAAAGTGTTTGCTTCATCTTAGACATGCTTTTATTGCTCTAAAGAAAAATATTTGATTTCACTTTGTCTTTATTGAAGTAAATTGATCTGTCATCCACTATTGGAACTCATGTATTTTGGGTGAACCGAGGTGTACAACTGAATATCATCCACTATGTAACGATGAAAGACGTCTTTATAGGTCGACAGGATGTGGCCAAGAACAATAAAAACCAAAAGAGGAGCCAAAAGCAAACAATTTGTAAGTAGAACTCTACATAATCTAAGTAAAAAAAAAGTTTAAACTGTTTGTAGACATTGAACTGAGAACAACAAACCCAATACTGGAAGGGTCAGATGTCCCAGAGAGATATTTTAACAGAACTTACCACGCAGCTCTCCTCCTGCAGGAGCTCCACCGCTCTGAAGGCAGTCGTCAGGTTGGGAAAACCAAGTGGAAGCGTCCTTGGTGACGGCTCTTTAGAACGGCGTCCGTCTCCAATCTCCGCTTTGACAAGCGATCACTAGTAGGCATATCCAACGCCTCAGTCCGCGCTCGTTTCCCTTCCATCTCCCAATTATTTCAAGGTTAGTGGCATATAAAGGGAAACTCGCAGCGTGTCCACTTAAAACTATTGAAAACTATTGGTTTCTTTTCCATGAGGAACATTCAGTCCAACGTCTCATGAATTTTTTTTTCCTTCATCCATTTGCAATTTTTTTTTTTTTCTCGTTCTACTTTGAAAGGTAATACAAAAATATGCTTATATACAGGAGGTGGGAGAAGACGGCGCTTCTCGAAGTCTTTCGTTTTTAGTTTGGGAATATCTTTTTCGACGACTTTTCTTTTTTTTCTTTTCTTGAATCAAAAGTCATAGCAATCCTCCTGTTGTAAATTGTGCTCCCATCCCCAGAATTGTACCTCACAGCTTGAATGAACAAAAGTGCATAGGTGAGTCGGTGAGGGCAGGGTGCGAGTGCGTGGGGGGGTTGAGGTGAAGACGAGCGCACAAATCAGGTGTCCTCCTCTTTTTTTTTTTATTCATTTATTTTTTGGCCTCTCAGTTCCCTCAAGGCTTTTTCAGCCCTCCAGAAAACAAAGTCCATCCTCGAGGTTTCTTTTTTTATATATGTGTATGTATATAAACAAGGCCGACTTAGAGGAGTTTGTCCATGCTGTTCAGATTCCTGCCGCTCGTCCTCAAGCAAAAAAAAGAAAAAGAAAAAAAAAAGTCAAAAAATAAAAAAGACCCCAACACCACTCATTGTCCATATGGCAGAAGCGCACTTGCAAACCCCACCCGTCTCATGTGGGAACAAAAACTAAGACAACAAAAACTTTTAAAAATTAAACAAAACTGCACCCACAGTTATCCATGTGGCTTGTAAACAACCAAAGCTCCAGTATGGAATAGAAAATAAGTCCTTTCTTTTTAATTCTGAGTCACTACGACCAGGATTGTTAGAGGCAGTGTGTTCAACTGTATCCGTCCAGAGTTTCATTTTCCATTTCTTCTTCTTCTTCTCCACTGTGTAAATGAAAACCTCTTAGAAGCTATTTTTTTCTGTTTTGTTTCCATTTTTTTGAAATCTTCTGAGGAAAAACAAAATCTGTTATCAGCACGGGTTTGTAATTTTTTTTGGAATACATTCAATGTTTTTAAGAAAAAAAAACAAAAAAATAATACACACTTCACATGGCAAGGAACAAAAGAAAATTAGGGAAACAAAATAAAAAAATTAACACACAACAAAAATAGCAGCCCCAAGTGCTCATTATCTTAGTCCAAATACTTTTTAAACTTTGTATATAATGTATATATTCCATATATATTTTTATTAAAAAAAACAACTCGTCATTATCAAATTGCAACAACGAGTAAGTAACACAATATGCTAACATTTCTCGCACCGTTTCTGTGCAGTTGCACATTAAAAGATGCTGTGTTTTTTTTTTCCAGAGTCAGAAACTCGACACCTTTCATTCACAAGATCGAGAGCTGACAAAAGGCAACGTGATCACACCCCAGAAAAAAAACAAACCAAAAAAAAAAACGAACTGGACTAACCTTTCTGATGGATCACCACCCCCAAAAAAAACCCCAAACACCTCCACCCACCCCCCCGAAGACAACTAGAAATATTTACGATATAAACTTACAAACTTTACATACAATGTGCTGAGCACCGACACACGTCACATCCGCTCTCGAAAAGAGTTAATGTCTCAATGGCCATGCACCCTATATCAAAGTTCTTAGGCACAAATGTGCATTCATACACGTAAAAAAAAAAAAAAAAAAAAAAAAGCACATACAAAATGAGTACCTGTAGTCTTAACTCACTTCTATGAACAGTAAATGAACACATCCTCTGAACCACACACACACACACACACACACACTCTCATTCGTACTTAGAAAATCTCACTCGGATGCACACGCGCCGACTCCCCCCCTCATGATCCGCTGCGTCCGCCGGCCCGTTAAGGGCCGCAGAGAGGCAGAGGGAAATAAACCAGCGGTGAGCCATCATGTCATGAGAACAAAGCTAACATTTACAAAATGTATGCATCTTTTTTTCTTTTTTTTTTTTTTGAATCTATCTGAAGATGAAGAGCTGGTGAGAGAAAGGATGTTTGTGCAGCCTGCCCTCTCTCTCTGGTTCAGTCACACTCTCGGAACAAACAGATGAAATTCCCCATTTGGAAAAAAACAAAAACAAAAGAAGGGGGTGTACACACACACTCTGAACATGAGGAGAAATTACTGAACAAAATAAGACAAAAAAATGGCCTCTTATGTTTCATACATCTCGGTAAGCAACAGGAAAATAAAAGGAACATTGTGCAGACTGTATCACACTCGCTCGCTCGCACACATTCACAAAAATATTCACTGCTATAAACTAACCCCATTTGTTGGATTTTTTTTGTTGTTTTTTTTGTCATTTCTTTTTTTAGGCAAGTGCAAATCTTCAAGTTTTTTTATACTCCATTTTTTTTCAATAGCTTTACTTTTCATATAAATGTAAAAAAAAATGCTCAACAAGAGAAATATCAACAGTGTTTGTCTTTTGAGAAAGGATTTGCTTTCTGATACGGTTCAAACTGAAAAAGGTCCCCCTGACTTTTCTAAACCTAACTTCGTCCCGTCGACTCCTGCTCCTCCCCCCCGCCCCGCCCCCTGCCCGCTTCCAGTTCAGATGCGCGTCGTCGGGCGCACATCGATTCCAAACACAAATGTACACGTGAAATTAAACAACTAGTCAAATCCCATCTCAATAAAGTGCATTAGTTCAGAATAAGGTGCTTAAAACTTTTGAGTGCCAGAGGAAACCCCCTCCTCACCCCTCACCTCCCCCGGCTCACCCCCCTCTCCCCTGCTCTAGTGATCAACTGGTGCAGCAGGGAGCCCTGTTTTTCTTTTTTTTAAACAACAAGAGGGAGATAAAGGGATTAACCCTTCACCCTCTCTCATGCTTTGCTCCCTTCCCTTACAGAACCCGACCCAAACCGATTCCACCCTCCCCATCCCCCTGCTTTCCCTACCCCCGGTTCCCCAGCAGTGCACATTCGTCATCAGGTTTGTCTGATTAAAAGACAGAAAAGGCCTCAGGTAGCTATTGCTGCTGCGCTGCGTCACATCAGTAATCCTCCACCATCTCCATCTCATTCATGCTCAGACATTCGCCCGTGTTGTGGAATGAGTACCCTGCAGGGGACACACACAACGCAACGCTTAGATCACAGTTTCTACAAGATCAACGCACACCTGACATTTGTCGTTTTATATTGCTTAATTTTGACACTGTTTTGTAATGAATTCGGGCATGGACTGATTTTATTATGCACTGCAGTCATTTTCTACTCATCATGACCAGGAAGTTAAAGTTCAGGCTTCCCTGCTCACTTTCACTGACAAAATCATCACAGCGTAATGAGTAAATAATTATATTTAATTCTCTGTGTTTTAATCTTTAAAGACGACAAAAATCAACTGGATTTTCTGCGGTAATCATAAAGAACCGCAAACCTCTGTGGGCAGATGGAAATACTACACATATCAGTTAAAAAGCATCATCCAGCCCTGCTGCACAGAGAAAGGAGAAGTGAATATTATTTTGTTTAAAAAGCTGCCTTTTGTGCAACATTTTCAAGCCTCTGTTTACATGTGTTAGCAAAATATGCCTGGGTTTTGTAACAGGCTGCTGGTCTTGGTGTTGATGCTCCCGGTGTGGCAGCGAGAGAAAACACAAGTGTGTGTGGGTGTGTGAAAGAAACAATCCAGTCAACCCAACTGTGCGCAGCCTTTTGAGCAAGAATCAACTTTGAAATTATTAAATTAATATACTAGACATTATTAATATACTATCATGTAATTCTCCGTTAAAGTGATACCATTTCTTTTTGCCAATTTTACATTTATGGAAATAAAACAGAATGTTTGCGTTTATCTCAAACTGTCAGTGCAGTACAATGAAACAGAGAATGTCTCATCCAGTTAAAATACAGCCCATGCCCAATTCAGTCTGAATCTAATCAAAGAGGCTGGTGTCGCTTACCTAAGATGCTGGGATCAGAGTGCAGCATCATGGGTGGTTTCTTCTTCATCTTTCCTCCCTGGTTGTCATACAGACCAGCTTTGCCCATGTGGTTGGCCTGAAACATGGACTGCAGAGTGCTTGGATTCATACCTCGCATTGAGTCCTTAGAGTGAAACAAATAAACCAGAAGTTACCCACATGACCTCAACTCTATCAGTTAGAACTCTTTTATAACAAATAGAATATATATGCATTTATAAAAGAACATTTTTGTCTTTCTAATAGCCTTCATTTCATGCTACATGCTTTAAAAACTAGAATATCTGATGTAACCTTCGTGTTTTTGTTTGTTATCAGTTAAATATGCAGCAGCCTTGTGAAAACTCGGCAATAAAAGATCCCACCAAACCACTGAGTCATTACTGTCTATTACTGTGAGCATGTGGAAATAAAGAAAGCTGGTTTAATCATATTTACCTGCAGAGGGAAGTTCATGTTCAACCCACCCACTTCTTTTGATAGCTGGAAAATGAACAACCAGAAAGGACATAAAAACATTTCTGAACATTTAATTACATGTTCTGATAAATTCAATACAACATGATAAATTACTTTATCCAAGAGAATAACTGGAATAGATTTTTTTAACCTAGATTTATCCTTTCATATATCAGGACTTCACACTCAAAATTATCAATTATCAAAATTAATGCTGAATATGTATATCAACATATTTTTGCATGCAAGACTGAATGATATTAGGAAAACATGTTATTCTCTCCAGCTACTAGAAATAAAATAGAATATTTCTACTTCAACAAGATTTTGGTGAAAATAAGATAATAATATCTCCTTTTATTGTGTGTCATATTTCTGAAATGCATGGTTCATAAAGCTGTTCGGGGCCGAGGAGAGCCGTACCTGTTGCTGCTGTCTCTGTTGGTTGGCTTTCTGTTTGGCACGTCGCTCCAGAAACTGTTTGGCGAACTCTTTGGCTTCCACTGTGTCCCCAAGGTAGGACCGGATGAAATCCAGCACTGCATAGGGAGACTCCACCTCCTTCAGGTACGCCACGATGGTGGCGACTGAACACACACACACACACACACACACGGTGACCATGGTTACTCGAGGCAGCAGAACCAGTTTATTCTGCAGTCAATTGCAAACTGTTGATATTCATGGCCATCAACTCTGACTGTATGAAACAGAGTAGAGAGCCAGATTGTTACACCTCCAAGCTACAAATTGCAGATGTCTTGATTTCCTCCTACCTGAACAAACCACCAGACAAATATCCTGTTTATTCATGAAATCTGAGTTTGACACTTTGCCACCACGACTCTCCTGCAGGTGGTCTGTTGTCCAGGTAATAATCAATTATCAAATTAGCTGACAAGTGGAGTGAGCAAATAAAAAAAAGCCCATTTGTTGATTGACAAAAAAATTCAGAGTTTTAATTTAGTAAAACTGTACAAAAGTATATCCATTTTGCACTCAAGATAAAAACCTTTCAGCCAAAACTGACAGTGTTCGCTTCACCTGGATCACATTTACTAATGAAATAATTTATAAAAGGAATTGGTTTATGTGTTTATTTGTATCTTTTAATGTGTTTCTGATTGTCAGAATGACTGAGGAATTAATAAATTACTAAAATAGTCATTAGTTGCAGCCTTATATGTAAAGTTATCATTTTTCTTCAGCTCAGTTTCTTTCAAACTTCTACGTTGACGTCATTCATCTTCAGCAGACGACTCTACATCCACGAAATGTCAGAGCCGGGCTAAGAAAACAATTTGAAATGCAGGATTGCAGGGCTGCAATCAACAGCAGCAACAGTGTAGATAATAATGACGAGTCTTCAATGCGCTGTGCTAAATTTAGGCTGAACTCTCCCCGCCTCTTGGCAAAGCTTAATGGGTAACATGGTGGCGTTCCTACCATCCAGAGAGGAAGAGGAGTTGTTGGCAGAGGTGTTGAGAGCGTGCAGCATCTGTTCACACCAGGTGGTGAAGCCGTCCTGAGGCTTCATGCCCTGCAGCAGCTTCAGCAGCTTCTCCTCGTCCTCCGTTCTCTTACGACGCATCATGTACTGATCACTATGAGAGAAAACAAAAGGCGCATCATGTACTGATCGCAATGAGAGAAAACAAAAGGATCTGTGATGAAGAAGTGGATTTCATTTGGTGCAGAGTGAACTGTTTAGCGTGCCATACGTCAGAGAGGGGCTGCTGCGGCTGTTCTTCAAGCCCAGGTTGTTGTTGGTGTTCCCCCGCAGGCCACCCTGGTTCTTCACCGCCTCGTCCCACATCCCCATGCTGCTGGAGGAGCCGCCGCTTCCTCCCTTCCCCTCCAGACTGCTCCACATGCCCACGCCGTCGGCCCACTGCCCGCCCATGGAAGAGCTCCCCATGGACAGTCCAGGATGCTGCGAGGCAAATATTGAACAAGATGTGTGGGTGTGTGTTCGGTTTCCAACAACGTCCCACATTCATGCCAAAAAAAGGAACTCACTCTCTGCTGCTGCGCTCGCTGCTGCTGCTTTAAGATGCGCTCGGCCTCCTGCATCTCCAGCATGGTCAGAGACTTCGCTGTCTTGGAGAGGCCAGAAGAGGGCGAACTGCTCCACCCTGAGCCCCCCACTGCAGGTCCCTGCTGCTGGGGCGACTGCTGCTGCAGCAGCTTCATGAGCAGTTCCTGCTGCTGACGCTACCAGCAGAAAACACACAAAACATTTTTGTTTTACTGTTTTTAAACAGCAGAACTGCTATTTTATTCTAGAATGTTTTTAAACTGAAAAATAGTTCAGTGTTACTGCAAGACAGATTTAAAATCCAGTTCCTTCAAAATAAATCTGATTACTTTGTTTCATTAAAATAGTTCTTGCTTAGACTCATGTTAAAGCTGCTCCTTCTCACCTGCTTGCGTCTGTAGAGCTCCTCCTCCTCCCTCCGTTTCTGCTCCTCCTGCTGCTGCCTCCTCTTCTCCTCCCTCCTCTTGCGCTGCTCCTCCTCCTCGCGCTTCGCCCTGAGTTCGGCGTCTCGCCTCTCCTGGAGCTGATGGGCAAATACCAAATTAAAGAAACATTTCGACATGCCTGAACGGAAACTGCGGCTGGGCGATACGACAACAGCCACTCTCTGTATGTCAACACCAAAACAATCGCAGCACAGATTGAGTAGAACTGACCTTCTGAAGCTGTTCAAGAGTTGGACCCTGAGTATTAGGATTCATTGTTAAGTCCCAAAGACTGGCTTCACCGCCTGAGTGAGAATAAAAACACTTAAGTTTATATTTTATCCGATGCTTTGCTTGCATCGTAAAGCAAACGGTCCCTACTGTACCTGACGACTGTGAAGCTGAGGTATGCATGTCCCACAAGGGCCCTGTATCTGGCACTGACATCGACCGGTTCATCGAAGGCATCATACCCTGCTCACTGCACCTGCAGCACACAAACAGGTCCAAATGGCTCAGGAGACGGCAGCTAAGTCATTAAATATCCAATTCAATCAATAAAACTTGATTTATTTCAAAGGGAAACTGAGAGGAAACCTGTTAATGAGCTGGAATAGCTGCTGCTGCTGGAGCTGCTGATAGAGAGCTGCCGTCGCCAACTCCTGCTGCTTCTTTAGCCGCTCCTGGTCCAGGTTCCCCTGAAAGATCCAACATGGAGACTCAGCTGTCATGACACAAAAAAATTAAACAAATATCACAATAAAAGATCCTTCAGTTTAATATTAGGGTAGGGCTGGAAGATTTTTTTCTTCACTTTCTTTATAAAAAAAGAAAGTAAAGAAAATATTTTCATAAAGTGGCTTTTATTCAAATTATCCCTCTGGGAGTTGTAGTTTTACGAGAACTTTTGTCTAATTACCAGAATATGGTCATATTATTAGCAGAAAAAAGATGCAATTTGCAGGGAAAAATAATCTTTAAATTTGAAGAAAATTTCTATGAGAAGAAAACTTATTATTCATCATCTGACATTTCTAACTCAGTTTGTGCAGATCTTTCTTCAAAACTCAATTACACAATCAGTTCAAATTACTGTTATAATACAGAATACAAATACTTAAACATTTACCAAACTTCACAAGATCCTGAACATTCCTCATTTTAATGTTTTGTACTTTTTGGGGGTTTTGTAAAAGCGACATGTAATTCTGGTATAATTAAAACAATATTCTGATGTAAATAAGAAAATAAAGTAAGAAAATCAACTTATTGCCTGTATTTTGCAGTAGAGCTGACCTGAATTCAAAGTCCAAAAAAAATAGAAGCTGTAAAACACGCTTGTTAAAAAAGATGGCCGCCCTCAGTGTGCTGAAATCACTCTGAACTTTGAAAACCTAAAGAGTGCAGTGGTGGGGAAAAAGATATAGATTTTCCAAAAATGTAATCTTCAAAAACTTAATGAATCAAAATCATTTTACAGCTATGCATCGGGATAACGAACTGATGCATCGGCATCAGCTCGTTATCGACATGATGCTGGTGAGAAAAACATCCTGCTCTGTTTCTGAGCTGAAGAGGAAAGAAACCCTGCAGTCTGAGGTGGAACCCACCGTCCCAGCGGGCCCCCGGCTGCTCTGCGGGCGCTGCGTCGGCGGGAGCTGCCTCACCAGCAGCGGCGGCGGTGAGGGCCCGGGGGCAAAGGGCACACGGCCCCACATTTTGATGACGTCCCCCAAGGGCTGGAAGCCCTCGTCGCAGCCCCGCTTCACCAGCAGCGTCATGGTGAAGTAGCCGGCCTGGAACCACTCGCACATCTCCACCGTGGTGAAAGGCCCTGCAGAGCAGAGGAAACCCACAGGTCAGGCTGCGCGACGGTGAAGCTTCAGGTTAGTAACCATCACAGGTGATGTCGTTGGTGAAACCGTACCCTGGATCTCTCCCTGCGGGTCTTTGTAGAACCACTTCATGGCGGCTTCGTGAGACAGCGGCAGAGCAGCCGCTGTGTTCCGGCTCTCCTGCTGCTGCTGCAGAGAATGCGTGAAGCATTCCTCCTCCATGGATGTGTCCTGCAGCGACGCCACCATCTTCTCTGCCTCCTGCACACGGGTCAGAACAGGGTCAGTACTTAACATTCGCTTCCACCGCGCAACCCTAAAACCAACCAGCCAGGACTTTCTATTTGACCCCAACCATCAGCTCTGTGTAAGATATGTTGCAGCTTTTTAACATTCCAGTTGAATAGAGGAAATCTTTTACAACAAACAACTTCTAGACTTTATTAGGCAGCAGTAATCTGAGGAGGGGGATTGCTGCCCCCTCTAGCAGAGTTCAGAACAAAATAAAAGAAAATAATAGATTGCTTCATGGTGGTTAATATTTAAAACTATAGTCGAGTCACTTCAAAATTTAAACAACTGTGGAGCTAAATGTAATTTTAAATAAACTGAATCCATTAAGATATCTTGTTGTCTTGGAGATGATCAATCATTAACTAAACCATAACCAATAACTTTGTCACAGTAATTCCACTAATTAATCCCTTGCAAATTTAAAACAGGTTTATTCTGACATAAAATCTAAAGTGGATAAATGTCAGGAACAACATGCTGCAGATCTGAGAGATGCAGCTTAAATATGACAACATCACTGTGGGATGTAAAGGTGGAAGGACATAAGGATGGTGAAAGAAAGAAAGTAGGACTCAAGGAAGTAAAGACAAAGCATGAGTCGACAAAACATAACTAAATGAAAGGACACAAGGACAAAGAGAAAGGAAATAAGGAAGGATGGACAAAAAAGCAAAGATGCAAGAAAGAAAGGAACATAAGACAAGGAAGAGGAAAAAAGAAAAAAGGATACAAAGTCATGGTAGACAAAAAAAGGTATGAAAGGACACAAGGACAAAGGAAGAAAAGGAAGGAAGGACAAAAAATTAAGGAGAAACAAAGGCAGAATAGAAAAGGACAGAATAAAGGAATGACTAGAGGAAGTATATGATAGAGGAAGTCAGAAAGAAACAGTCTTCCATCTTCTTATTTGCATTTTCTATACTTTTTACTTTAAATAGATGAGCTACACATTTCCAGAAGCTTTGAGACGACTGGGCTCTTAAACTAAAACAGCTTCCAAACAGTCTGGGAATAGAGCCGTGTTGTTTTCATTTCACTCTTTTTAATCGCATTCCTGATGCTGCCGATGTGTTTGGGACTGTGTGTTCCTCCTGAAGCTGGAAGCAGCAACAAGGACCCTCCTGTTTACACAAACAGCCCGGCTCTCAGCCGCCCACAGTCACACCTGTCAGGCTGGCTGAAACCTCAACGCTGGAAATACTCAAACGGTTTATTTTGGTATCCAAACCTGTTGCAAGTGTTTCAGGCCTTCATCGTCCTCGGGGTCTCCTCCAGAAGGAGGGAGGAGCGGAGCAGCAGAGGAGGAGGGTGGGGGAGGTAGGCTGGAGGAGGAGGTGGAGGCGTTGCCGGCGGCGAGGATGGGGCTGAGCTGGGCCTTGGAGACCCCCACCGAGGCCAGGTCTGACACAGAAAAACAACAAGCAGTTCAACAATGGAGGCTATTTTTAGCTCCTCTGATGAGGAGGAGCAGAGCCGACTGCCGGCTCCGGGGCCCATCCAGCAAAAACAATAACCAGAGTGTTAGAAGACGGGGATAAAAATATACCAAAGCAAAACTAAACTCGATCCTCGACGACAAAAAACATGTTGGACCAGAGACACAAATCAGAACCTATTCTTATTTAGTTTGTAACCTAAATAAAAACATCTGGTTTCAGATTAAATCCAAGGAGAAGTTACTTCAGATTGAACAAACTAAGAATAATAATTAAAAAAAAAAACATCCAGGAGTTTCTGTCTTTGGAAACCCACCATCAGCAAGGGCGCTGCCGGCCTTGACAGAGTGGCTGTTGTTCATCTGAGAGTTCTCCATCACCTGACCAGCACTTTCTGGTTGGAGCTCCAGTGATGGCGGGGCACAGTGGGCTGGGGGGGAGGAGGAGGAAGAGGACGGTGGTGCTGGCTTCATCTTTTCTTCCCCGGCAGCAGGAAGGGAGTCTTTACTCTCTAAAGGAGCAAAAAGAAGACAGAGTTTGAATGAAGATTCCTGTTTTTATTATTATTATTATTATTATTATTTCTCTCTGGGTTATGAGGCATTCTGTTTTATTTTTACGTACCCTTGTCTTTATCTCCGTCTCCATTGTTCCTCTCTGCATCAGGGAAGCCATCGTCCTCGTCATCCTCCTCAATGCCTTTAAAGTCCAAATCTTCCTCCAGGATTGTCTCCTTTCCACCTTTCTAATGGAATGAAAGAAAAAAAAAATAAGTAGGTCACAAACCTCAGACTCACAGATCTGAATATTGGAGACAGAAAAAAAATATTCCCACTTCAATACATTAAGAATGACAATATAAAGGCATAAAGGCAGCAGAACCAAGGTTAGCATGTCTACTCTACATGTTGATACAACTTGTTTATATTTACACATGTACAATCTGTGAAAACGAAACTTATAGAAAAAGTAGTTTGTTTCAAAAATCCAAAAGGTTCAACTTAAGTCAGGGTGCGACAATAAATTGACGCAGATTTTCTTAATTTTGGGAGATCAGTGATCGACTGAAATGTGAAGCCGGTCTGAAGTTACTGTACCCTTTTGCTCTGCTGTGAGTTTTTTTTTTTTCACTGACAGTTAACAATAGTCACTCCTCTGTTGCCAACTGAGTAACTTTCAGAAAAAAAAGATTGGTATGAACCAAAATCGGAATAGGCAGGTCAGGATGCAATTGGTGCACCCATAATTTGAATGTCGTAAAATTTAACGACTTGTGTTTCGGCTGCTCTTTGTCTGGGCACAGGGCGCGTTATGTGATACGGGAAGGAGGTCAGCATTGTAAAAAGGAAAAAATGTGAGGGAGAAAATCCAGATTTATTGGATTAATAAAAAATAAATGTGCACAGAATATTGTAGCTTTGCAAAGGAAATAAAAACAGCCTGTGATTTTTTGAAAACTGGCTTCAGAAACTAGTCGCATGATTCACTAGGGGAACATTTGCACAGCAACAGCACCATCAATCAAAACCTCCTTCTCCCAAAAGAATTAGAAATACTTGAGGAGAGGATCTGTATTATTACAGCTCTGAAGTAGGTTTATTTTAAATGAAGAGACACTTCTATCTGAAGATTTGTCCCAGTAGAAGACTCTCTGAATGAATCATGAAATGTCACAAGAAGCTTTTCATTCTCATTTCATAATTTCATCCCGAGTGGGTGGCATTAAAAGCAGCACTGCTGGCCTTTACAAATCACGTTGTAAAGGCCAGCAAAGCATTGATTCAACATCAATGAACAAAAACTTCCAGGTTTGAAAAATTAGAATAGCTGAATCAAGAAAGGTTTTTTCCTCCCCACACGTACCTTTAAGGGCATGAACGCTCCAGAGGAGTCGAACGTCCCCATCTCTCCGTCCTCCTCATCCGTGCACCACTCTGGCAGGCCGTCCCGGTCGTCCTCCAATCCCTCGCTTCCTGCGCGACGGCGGCCAGCGCCGTGACCCTCCGAGTCCCGGAAGTCAAAATCAAACTTCCTTCGCCGACCTTCACCTGCACCGCTGTGGTCCCGCCAGCCTGCTGAGCGAGGACCACCGTCTGAGAAGCCACAGGGTGAAAACCGCACAATTAGTCTGATGCGGTAGCAGCAGTTTAGTTTAGAATTTAAATCTGAGATGCATTTAACCTCAAAACATCTACGGGTGGAGGAATCAACTTGTCCGTTCTAAAGAAGTGCCACTTCCTGAAAACACTGTCATGGCAACTCGCTACATGATGTAAGTAAATGTCTATGACTGTCTTTGGCTGGACAAGCAATTTCTTGCTTAAAACTCCCAACTGTTCCAAAATTTCATTTTGTATATGCATTTTTAAAAATAACTGAACAGAATCTGACATATTGGCACTCCTTGACTAAACTAGATCTGGAAACTGCTTTAAAAAAATCCTCTATTTCCATATTTTTCCATCCTGGTACCAAACTGTTTTGAATGTTAATTCATATCTGGAAAAAAACGATTCTAATTTCCATACTTGCAGCACTCCTAAATGAAACTTACTTCAACTTGTGCTGTGAAAATCTCTTAACAACCTCTAGGTGTCAGTATAGACCCCTTAATGTGCAGGACTGCCACGCAGCAAAGCAAATAAAAACATTCACTATAGGCACATCAAGTTAACTTATAAATAAATAAAAGCACTTGCAGCGCGCATGTTTAATCAGCCTGTTCTTATTAAAAAGAGTTTACTCATTTTTGTGCATTATGTGATTATTCTAATAAATATATGCGTTAAAATACTTAAAAGAGTGCTTATACTTTTTAGGCTTTGTATCAATTAACTGTACTTGAAATCAATTACTGTGGCAACACAATAATCTAAAGTAATAAAAAGCTTTTTTCATTTGTATCTGAAAGCAAAAACTGCAGTTTCTTTTTTTTTTCCTCCTAAAAAAAGCATTGCGGTTTCACTGAACGTCTCCCCACCGTCCCTGCGGGATCCGGACAGCCTCCAGTTGGTTCCTGGCTCGCCCTCGTCCTCCTCCTGCTCCTCACGGAGGGTGCGCCAGTTGTCGCTGTCAGCCCTTGTGTACTCTTTCCTTACGGGACCCACGGGACCGCTGCTTTCTTCGAAACTGGGCCGCCCCACCTCCCGCCGCAGCGGCTTCTCAAACCGTCGCTCGCCCCTGAGGAAAGGCGGGAAATGGGAGGAAAATTGCACCGGTTACGGAACAAACAGGAGATAAAGGCCACAACATTACTCGCTTTTTATGCCGGAGGAGAAAATTTGGATCAAAGCATCAACATGATTATTTTGTATTCATGAGCGAAGAAAATATATAATTTCAGTAAAGGTAAATGGGAAATTATTCCTGCGAATGTGAGATAACCACGAGCCAAAATATTCCAAGGACAAAAAAACCCAAAAACTTTATTTGAACTATTTCCCATTTAGTTTTTCTCTTACCGGTCGTCCCAGCTCTGGCTGCGATGAATCTCTCGGACATTGCGACCAAATCCCACCTCTGTGTCCTCAATACTTCTTTGGTAGAATCCCCCTTCGCCGCGGCCTCGGCCTGCGTTTCAAACACACCAGTACGGTTAACGGCCGGAGAAAATGCACAACAGAACACATGAAAAACAGCCAGAGTTGGAAAACAACAAAGTCGCTCTGGCTCAGATTAGAGCTCTAGATGTAAACAAGCTGTTTGGATCAAAATTTGATAGCCTGATATTTTAAGCACTACGCATTTCGCTCCTGAAGCAAATGATGCCTTCCTCACAAGGTGGTAGAGACATGAAAGATATGGATTCATCTCCTCGTGAGAACGTTGAAGTACCACAGAGGCTTTCTGAAGGTTTCCACAAAACAGAGATCTTTTAAGACTCTTTAAGATCTTTTAAGACCATTGACTAGGAAACATAAGACCTGGAGAGCAACAGGAAGGTACTAAAGGTAACTGCATATTTTACACAGTAGTAGCGTCAGCCAACCAGCGATAAATTTCAATAGAATGGAAAAACTAGCAGCTAGTTAGCAGTAGCTACAACCACCTCAAGTCACAAAACACAATGATTATGTTTGCAGGTGACTCAAATGTCTGCCTGATGAAAAATGTCCTTGAGAAAAAAAACACTACATAAGAGATTAAATAGTCCTGCCACAATAAAATTTAAGACATTTGAGTATTTTGTAATTTGTAAATCAATTTAAGACATTTTAATCTGACAAACTATACATCTTTTTTTTTTTTAAATCTTAAATAGCTTTGTTTTCCTTTATTGAATTTCTCATGCTGACAGATGACTCATCTCTGTACTTAAAACTCATCTTAAGTACATGTGGGAGTTTATTTTTGATATTTTTCTGCCCAAAAATGACGATGACTTGGAATTTCTCCCTCTCTGTTCTCAGAACCGTTTAGTCTATAAGAATGAACTTTGCTTTGTCTGTTGCTGCAAAGCCACAAATATTTCCTTATATAAACAGTGAGACTTTGTTATTGCAAATCCTTGGATCGGTTAAAACAAACTCGGTTCGGTTCATCTGGTTAGCGTAAATAATTGGTGTTCTGAAAGCATTTACCACACATTGTTGCTTTTTCCCCCCCCTCAACAGATTTTAATCCTTTTGGTATGAAATGAACTCTCAAACTGAGCCAAACCAAATATTTGACATTAGTTCGGCTTTGAGAAGGTTATTTGCGGTTTAACCAGCAGCTCGTCTCACACACCGCTGGAGCAGAGGCCGAGTGTTTACGCTGCGTTGAGAAGGTGAGTTCCTGAAGCTCAGAGGTTTCACGCAGGTGTGGCGGGACTAAAGGACGTTTATTTACACATGCAGAGAGGAAGCGTGCAGGTTCAAGATGGTGGATGAAAGAGGAAACAAACACTTGAGGAGCTGCCTTAAATAACTGGTTTACTTTTCTCAAATAATAGCTATTGTAGTTTCAGCCAGGCGTTTCACACTGTTGATGTTGGAAGCCTTGGCTGATTTATCCTGAGTGCTCTGAAGTTAAGCTGCTTCGGTTTTATTTCTGATCTGGTACAGGGCTTCTGCAGGTTTCAGTGCAGTAATGTTAAATAATTTAAGACAATTATTTACATCAACATGTACTATGAAATAATACCTTTAATAATCTAATTTAACAATTTTATAAATATGTTTAGCTTACTGTATCAAGTGATGTGGATTTTTCTTAACTCTTTCATGCGATTAGTATCATCTTTATACTGCATGTAGAAACCTCTATAATACAAATCAGGTTTTATTCCAGCTGCATCAATTTTCTTTTCAAATCAGACCAGCTTCCCACCATGAGTTTGGCGTCTTCACTGAGTTCCTCCATTTGTCCACTAATGTCCTCTAACAAGCCTCTAAGGCCTTCACCAAACAGCTGCATTTATACAGAGATTCAATTACACTCAGATCGAATCGATTTAACTAATTAGGTCACTTCTAAACATGGTTTGTTGAACTGGAAAACATTTTCTACTCCTACAACCACTTCATGAAAAATGCCAGTGGGAATAACCCCCACCCAAAGTCCAACCTCCTTTTAATGTGACTAAACCTGAAAACTTCTGAAATTCACTAAGTTCAGACCAAGTTTGGATAAAGCACGGAAAGCTGTGAGGCCTAAAACTTCTTAAGCTTGAAGAGCCGGTATGACCTCTCAGAGCTTTAGGTATGACCTCACCTCGCCCACCTCGAGCGGCCCCTCGTCCACGGACGACTCCCGCGGGTGCTGGCCCTCCAACTCCCTTTCCCATGAGCCTCAGCACTGCCGCGCTGTTCACGGACATGGAGAAGTTCCTCTGCAGACAGAGCGGAAGAAGGAAGGCGAAAGAATGTCAGAAATGTGAGCTCTCTCTTTAGATTAGTGGCTCTAGTGGATAAAACAAGGATTGGAACGTGCCAACATTAGATTATCAGTGAGAGAGAGAGAGAGTGTGTGTGTGTGTGTGTGCGGATGTGTGTGTGTGTGAGGAGGCAGACCTGCTCCTCCTCGGTGAGAGGCACCAGTGCCAGGGGCTGCATGGGCTCATCTTGCAAAATAGCAGCAAACTCCTTATCCTGCATGTCCTCTGGGACCTGCAGAGACACAAAAATAAAAATAAAAATAGAAGCGGCCTTTCTGCGCTGCAGAACAGTTTGTAGGTCTCTGGGTTTCTTGTTTCCAAAAGGAAACAGAGCTAATGTACAACATTCTGACCTTGTTGTCTTTGATATAAAGTGCTAACATCTCCTCTCGGCCGTAGCGATACTCGGCCAGCTTGTACTTTGGCATGGCGGGGGAAGGAGGGGGAGACGTCACACTCCCCCCACTGGACAGTGCACGAAGCCTGGAGAAAGAAAAACACACACATTGATCATTTTTCTCATAATCAAAGATATGAAACAAGTTGCATTCCTCTGTCATTTATTGTAGTCTTTATTTTCCCATCCATCCATCCATCCTGTGCTAATTTGTCGGATTCAAGCGACACACTCAGCTCTGCTCTAAAGACATAGTGGCTTTCCAAGCTGAAGATTTCATTTTAATAAGCCATTACAAGTGGGCTGCTTTCCAAGGGCTTAACAATGGCTCCATTCACCGCCGGCACAGAGGCTGGCATTGATTAGCAGGCTCATATCAGAACCAGATGCGGCTCAGAGGTGGAGAGGAATGGAAAAGGTAAAGAGAGCTTCAGGAGAGGCTGGATGGCGGCGACCAGCATCTTGAGGGGAGAGGCAGCATTCCTACACATTATTGCTGGGAAAATCCAGATTTATCTGCAGCTGTTCAGGTTTATTATGAGGAAAGAGGAGGAGGACACAAGGAGAGGAGGAAGAAAAGGAAGGACGAAGGGCAGCGGAAGAAAGGAGGAAGGTCACAAAATGAAGGACTGGCACAAAAAGGTGGAAGGAAGGAAAAGAAAGAAAGAATGGAAGGAAGGCAGAAGGAGATGGAAGGAAAAGAAATGGAAGGAAGAAATGCACAAACAGGAAGAAGGAAGAAAAAAAGGAAAAGACAGAAGGTACTACTGTCTTTCTATACTCTTCTTCTATTTGGAAGTAAACTAAATCCCAGACTTTTCCAGGCTGCATGGGAATCCTGGAGCAGCTCCAAACACTTCCAGGTGACTTCAGCCTCTCCACTTGTGTTTACTCTAATGAAAGGGAAACGACTGAAATGCTTTCCACACATTTTAATCTAAACATCATTTCTTTGTAATAGTTGCTCCAGCAAACCTTAAACCCTCGCAGGCGGATCGTTTTCACTTTGAGTTGAGCCGCAGTGACCGACATATCGCCCGCACCGCTGCCAGGCAGCACAACCTCAAACGATGCGAATAGTTCTGGAAAGCCAACAGGCATAAAAAGCCTTGTAAACATTCGGGCAGCTGTTAGCGGCGAGCGCCGCGCGCTGATCCGGCTCCGTCGCTGGATTAAAGCGAGGAGAGCTGCTGCAGATGTGTGAGGAGGGGAATATTATGTGAGGCTGGCGGAGAGTCAGGAACGCACACAGAAGTCCCAGGGCGATGGAGACGGAGGGATAACCCCCACTAAAAACCCCAACCGACTCGCTCAGCACGGCTGCACACACAGCCAGAGGGAGAGAGAGCAGCGACACAAAGACCTACCTCCATTTTGACTTAGATAAGACTTTAACTAAAAATCAACCATTACTGTTAATAAAAAAGGTTTCTACACATTTTAGTTTGTCTTTTAAAATGATTCTGTTGAGCTACATTTCAAAGCCATTGTTTTCATTGATTCATTTTGAGTAAATTTTTTATAATTTGTCAGTTTCACGTAAACTCAGGAGCCAGTATGGGTAAAAACAAATCTGTTCATGTAAATATGGAGTCAGGAAAATACAAGAAAGAAGGAGGACTGAGAGGGGAGGAAAGGAGGAAATGATGAAAGGGTGGAAGGAGGTAACAAGGGAAGGAGAACTTTCATGTGTAGGATTGGCATGAATATAAACCTAACGCTTCTGCCTCAACCTTTTCAGTCAAGATGTTTAAGCTGTTGTCCTTTGAAATGTTGATGAATTGAGTAAAACCATCACAAAAATCAAGTCTCTGAATGTTCGGTTGGTGTCAAGCAAAACTATTTCACTTCAAAAAAAAAAAAAAAAAAAAAGGATAAACCTACAGTAACGATGCGAGAACATGGACAGAACTGGACTTTTGATGCAAGAACTGTGAACCAGTAGTTACCATTCTGGGCCGAAGTTTAGAGTCTCAGCAGTCATATTCCTCACGTCCCCACAGAACTGAGTATCTGAGGAGGAAAAAATATACACTTCAACACATATCTCGGACAAATAAAAACAGCAAAATGATGAGTCGTTCGGGTTTTCTTACCCTGTCCAAATAATCGGAGCAGGCTGGACTGGGCTGGACCAGGCTAGAGCTGGCTGGATTTAGTTAGGCTTAGGTGACTAGAAGGCTGAGTGGTGCTTAAGCTGTGGTCACAGAACAACTCCCCAAACACACAAAGACCAAGAGAATAGCTGCCAGTTTCAGGTGCTTGAGGAATACCAGGTTATCAGGTCCTAACTAAGGAAGGAAGGGCTTTTGATGATCGTTTGGAGAATGGAAGCTCCTGCTACTCACAGCTGAAAACAGTTGTAAAACATAAAAAAACAACAAAAAATAAACAAAAAGAACTTCCGAAATTGACAATGGACAAAAATAAAACTCTCTTAAAGATATAATGTTTCCGTTCTTTTGTTTTACAGCAGTTGTATCTCACATTAAAGTTAAAAATATGAACCAGTTCGTCAAAAAAAGAACAGGAAACGCAAGGTGGAGGAAAAAAAAAAATAATTGAACAGCCGAAAAACAACACAAGCGGCTGCTGGAACAGCTGCCAAAAGCAGGCACGACTCGCGCTCCTCGTCGGCCTTCTCTCCTCCTCTGCGCCTTCTCTCCTCTCGCTCCAGCTGAAATGTGGATTGACGGAGACCTTTGAGGTAGCTCCTTAATTTCCTGTCCTCCTCCCTTTGCACGCCTGGAAAGGAAAAAAAAGCAGAGATTCAGGGACGGGATCGGAGAAATTTAAAAAGGAAATCCCAGGATATAAAACGCACACTTGGATGTATTTACACCAGATGAGACCAAAACTGCTATTTTTAGTTTCTTCTGAGGCAAAAAGCCTCGACATGCTATCATTACCAGCGCGGCCGGGACACTCAGAAGCACCGACATAGTGCGATTCATCAGCAATGGCGAGCTGAGCAGAGGGGAAGGCACCGTGGCATTTCTCCACAGAACAAATTAAAAACTGCATTTGTCAACCGCTCGGTCGAAGCACCGTGTTTTCTCGTTCAAAGGGAGATTTTCCATCCAGAAATGCAGACGGCCTATTTCAGTAGCGCTGTGAGCCAGCTGCTGCTTAAGCCAGGCAGCTGGCCGGGGGATAATTCCTGAGAAATGTCATGGAAACAAAAACAACATCGAGGCAACTTATTTTCAATAAGTCATGCCACTGGGTCCGAGCATCACATCCTCATGTTCCTTCAACTCCAATCCAGTTTACATTCAGGATAATGGCGGTAACTTAGCTGAAAAATAAACAAAACACATATTTGGACTTTCAGCTGGACTCCAGGTTGACTTTTTAGTCCCCCAATTTTACTGGCTTGTAAGAATGAAAGCGCAGACGCGTCTCGGTATTTTCTGTTGCCGGGTACAATGACCGGGCTTCCCGGGCCTTTTGACGCTTCAGCGCCCAACTTTCCAACGTAGGTTTGACTTTATTAACACCCCTTTTTTGAAACACTAAAGCCCACTGATTGTGGTCCAGATGACTGCATATTCACTGCATCACACACACCAACACACTTCCTTATTTTATGGTGCCAATTTTAAAATGTTCTATCTGATGTACAACTCAATAACAATGGTTCTGGATAACCTTTCGCTGCTTACGAAGCTCAAAAAAATGTATACCATTTCCAAAAGGAGTGGTCAGCAACTCTTATGGTACAAAGAGACGATTGAAGTAGGGAAAACGGTAAACTTATGGAAAACAACAAAAGAAAAACACTTGAATTGGCATGTCTGCTGTCTTTAATACCAGAAAATATCAGACGATAAATGAAGACCAAATTAAACAACCTAGTTCATAAAATATTTAACTCTTCAAAGGTAAGTTTTTTTTAAGATATACATATTTGTGCATAGAACGCAGCAACAGAAACTTAAAGACTTCAAATACTAGCAGTAACGTGAACACTTAAGAGTTTGTAAGGAGCGGTGAAGGAAGGATTTGTGATTACGCTCCTTTCTGCAGTTTGTGATTTTGCCTCTTCTGCATTTCATTCTTTCACAATTATGGTTATTTCAAGTATGAATCATTTATATGTTCAGCATCAACAGGGCCAACCTGTGATTAGGAAACTAATATGAAACTGACTTGTATGTCAGAGTTAAACACTTTAAAATGTTCTGAATTAGAAAGCAAGGGATAATTTTATCAGGAAAAACAAGTGTTTAGTGATATGCAATAGAGGTCGGTTGAGACAAAATGGTGGTAAATGAGGAGAAAAATAGAAAATTATAGAAAAAAAAGTTCTGAAGTTTTTCTTTAGTCTTTTTTTTATGATTCAGACTTTTTAAAAGCTCTGACATCTCAACTCATTTCTGTAAAAAACATTTTTGATTCAATTAAACATAAACAACCTAAAACTACAAAAATAAAATTACATAAATTGGGCCACATGGCTCTTGATAGAGATGGTGGTTTTGTACCAATCAGATAACAGATTAAGAGACTTTCCCCATTAATGCATCAAACGGAAACTGAGAACACTGAGGCTTTTCATCAGTTTTGATTCATTTCATGGTGTTTGATTTTTACAATTCAGATTTGACCTGCTGTTCACCAGCTGAGCTCATTTAGCAAAACAGAAGTGGCTTCTTCAACCCAGATTGGTGGAGCACCATCTTTAAATCCATAATCTAGTGTTTTAAATACAAAATACCCACGTTGTGATAGCGGTTTGGACGGTAGTGCACAGCAAGCAACACCAACCCATATTTAAACACTGAAAAAAAAAAATTTAATAATGGAAAGCTGACCTACTGAAACCCTGAGAAAACAACACCATCACTCCATCAATAAAGAATCAGTTTTAAAATTATTAGTGTTGCTCATGTCTAAACAATAACATGGCATCAACTTACATAAAGCCAGAAACATTTAAGATATAAAATAATGTAAAACAGAAGAATCAGGTAAAAAAAAAAAAAACTGCTGTGACTAATGCTGGTAGTATTTTGTGCCTTTTCTCCCCCCATCTACCGCTGTTGGGTCTTGTGCAATGTGAGGCGCCTTGTTGGAATAGTTGGGTAACACTTTTTTCAGGAAGTTCAGTGAAATATGATTGCAGAAGTGAGTTAAGCAAACCTTTTAAGTCATAAAGAACTAATTTAGTGAACTTAAACACATCTGTGTCTGTGTTTGATGGAATATGTTGATACGTACAGCCACACATTACATTTCAGCAGATTCAAAAACATTAACTTGGAAAGTGGCTGAAAGGGGAGATTATGGGATGAGTGTGCTTGCACCACATACCCCCAGAAAAGCAGAAGTTTCCAGAGAGCAAATGAAAGTTTTGCCTTGAGCAATAATTATAAACAGGGACTGAATCAATAAGTGCCAGAGAAAATGTATGATTCTACTGTGACTAGTAATGCCACCAAATGGGCAAGATGTACAGTTACATTAAAAACAGCCTGGAGCTTAAAGATGGTGAAAACCAACCTCCAAAATCAAACCACGGGGCAGCAAAATGCACTTTTTTTCCCCTTCAGAAGCTAACCAACCAGGTATTTTAATACATTAATATAACTGTCAGTGATCAAAACAGATCAATGTTCCCTTGCTCTGCTCTGACTGATCATTAGCAGGTCAAATACAGATGACAAATTTCAGATTCTCTCCATTGATTTGATATAAGTTAGGGAATCTTGTGATTCAAACCTGCAGTGTAGTTTTTTACTTTCTAATGAATGTTTACTACATCTCAAAGTTTAAAACACGAGGGTTTGCATGTGATATAAACCTTAAAACAAAAATGAAAATCAGTCCAAAGCTAAATCGGCGCCTCAAACCACAAAGACACGAAATAGGCCATTAACTAGTTTAATTCTAATCTGTGCGTATCCATCACACACTGTGTGCACAATTATTAGGCAAGTCTTACTTTTGAGGATTATTTTATTAATCCCCAAATACAGTGCTCTCGGTTAATCCAACATATTAATAAACCTCAGGCATGAATGTTTTGGAAAGTCAAAGTGAGATCTGTGTGTCTTCTGAGAATTCGCACAATTATTGAGCAACGATTAATGTGAGAAAACATTACACAACTAAATGAATAACACACTTTCCCCATCTAAAATAAAACTGCCCACAAGTTTTCAATTGAGTGCAGGTCAGGTGTGAAAGAGGAACATGTTTTAAGTTTCTCATCTTTAATGCAAACAGTGCACTTAGATGTATGTGATTAAGGATAAAAACATTATTTTTATTGACAATCCAGACTCCATCCTGTTACACTGATTGAAGAAAGCAGGTTCTAAAATCTGGCAGCATGTTTGGAAGTTAATATCAACCTCAGAAGGTAAAAGCACTAGCCCATGCCAGGAGCCTGCCTCCACCTTGCTGGTGTTTGACTACAGGTGGCGCTCTGTGCCTGTTACTGATCCATCCATCTGGACTGAATGAGCTGACCTACTCCCTGCTAAACAAACTGCCACTGAGTGAGTTACAAATGGAGCTAAAATGCTTTTAAACTCTTGAAATGACCTTAATTTTAGCAACTATGGTGCAACTTTAAACTTTACCCTTTTAATATGAGAATATTTCAAATGTCTTGGGAGATGTTCCCAAAACACACATTTTTCCATTGATTTTGTGAAGAAATCCCTGGATGTTTTACTTCTCATTGCAAATAATTACATTCCACTGATCACATTATGCTGCATTTTAGGCTACCTGACTTCAGTCGTATCATTGACCTGATCCGAAACAAAAGATCAAAAAAAAAAAAAAAAAATGATGCAACGTTGGCAATGTTGTTTTTTTTTTTGCATTTCAACAGCCTGACCTGTATTAATGTAAGGATATCTTAGCTGGCTGAAAGAATCACATAACTTTATTCCCAAGTGTCTGATTTAAAAAACCTTTTAGCTCTAGATCAGTTTCCTCTTTTGCAATTCAAACAATCTCTGCTTTCATTTGTCCCCATTATATATTAAATAAAGAATGCATGAAACTATTAACTGTTTTTGTTGTTGCTCTCCACCGCTAGAAGGTATTTTGGTGTAATTTAAGACATAAATGATCATAAAAATGGTAAAACCTCACCTTTCACCATAGCATTTAAATCCCCAGTAGAACTAGTTGGACTACCATCACCACTGTTCAAATTTTAAATATCATTGAGCAACTTTAAGACATAACCACATATCAAGATCACAATAAAGATAAACTACGGAAAAAAGTGACTCTTGTCAACATTGGAACAAAACGTTCCGGACCTGAGGAAGTCAGATCCTAAACAAAAATAATAATAAAATAATAAAAAAATCACCAGCACCTTTCATTAAATGCATGGAAATTTGAAACTGTGTCTAATAGTTGATTCAAAACTAAGAGGTAAAGTGTGCGAAGTTGCAGGTTGAAAAACCGGTGAGAATTGCTTGTTACAGTGCCATCTACCAGGATTTCCCCCAGAGTATTATAAACACGGCGGCTCGCCAGGCTCCACCTGTCCCCCCTGCAAGGTTAAGCATTATTTATTTACTTTAAATAGGTTTTGAATGCACCAGCAACAGTGATGGCAAAGATGAGTTAAGAGCATTTCCATAGTGTCACCACTTTCTGAACTCACCCGTGATCAACGCAAACCTCTAAAAGCACAACTACAAAGCCGAGTTATAGTCACACTTTCAGGGGTTTGTGTATTGGTCTTTGTGAACAGAGAATGTGTGGGAGAGCGTTTACGTTTCATATATGATGGCTCTAAACGTGTTCTGGCACTTGTTTGTGTCTGCACTGCAACTTGACAAAGTTTGTGTAAATGAACGACACCATCAATAAATCACAGACCGGTCTTTTTCATTCACAGTATTCTTCGAAGCAGCAGCTTGAATAGACAACCGATCAGAAAACATCACTAAACAAAACGGGAGAATTCAGGAAAACACAAGAAAACTTAATACAATAAACACTTGAATTTTGTTCATTATGTATATTTACATTACATACCGCCAGCTGTCACATTGTTTAACATGTGAGGCAGTTTCTACCAAGCGGTACAATACGGGTCAGTGCAATTCAGAACACTATTTTTTAAGTTTCCGCTGTAAATCTGGCCCAAATGACTAGCCGGACCAAACCATTCCTTCAGTAATAGACCCATACAACACTGGTAGGGTTAGACTGGAGTTATCAGCGCCACACTACAGTCCACTGATTAGCATGACGCAACATTAGGCGGGTTTAATCCCACCTGCCCATTGACAATCCAACTGATGGTCTCTCCTGAGTACACTGGATGATAAAATAACATACTTGGAAACGAGGCATCAGAGATCTCCAAACTGAGGGGACATTCTTGTGTTTTCGATTACAAACTCACCAAACTTACTTCTATGTTCAAAATAGGCACTGCCAATCTAAATCAGTTCCAAAAATGTATCACAAATTGAACAGTTTCCATTGATATAAAAAAGTGTCAAATCCTGCATAACTTTGTTTTTGTGCCATTTAAATGAAGCATTGCTCTTTTAAGTGGTGCCATTCATTTAAATGTTGAATAACTTAATTATCATACGTGGCCCAGGTAACACTACTTTCAAATATTGTCACTTTTATTACTATATAAAACTAAGCAAAAAGATATAAAACAATTATATTTGTGACTACAGTGAGGTTAGCTGGTATCTACAGCGACAAAGTTTTTAATAATAAAGCTAAATCAAGGTCACTGAGCCAGAGGCGTTACTGGTACAATATGATTTGAATGTATGAAATATACTCTGATAACCGACTGTATAAATCTTACTAACAACTATCACTCAATGAAGACGGCTTAAAAACAAAACAGTGGTGTAAAACGCGTCCCAACGACGGCTAGCGTTGAAATAACTCATGTTGACATTAGCTACCGAAGCTAAGTTAACATTCAAGCTATAATAAGCTAATTACGGCGGATTCAAACAAAGCGACAGTAAAAGTAATGGTTTCAAGCAATAAATGTCAGAAAATATCCCCTTTCTGCTGCACACCAGATTCAACTGGCCGCCTAAACTCGCTAAAGTATGCGGTGGATCGTAAAGGCCTTGGCGTGTCGGTTCAAATGACACCAGATATGATGGCGGAGGGGGCGGACTGTTGGGAATCTGACTCCCCGGCCTACTCCGCCGAGCTGCCCCAACACCACCTTCCGCGGGCATATCGCTGCTCATTTCTGCAGTGATGCATCGCGAACCAAAAATAAGCAACGCTGCAATTTAAAAAGCTGTAAAAACGGCGTAGTGAAAGCGCAGGCCTCATGGCAGAGGCACCGTGGCGGAGCGGTTAGCTCCTGTTAGCTGCCAAGGAGGAGCGAACAAGCGGCTGCTTACCTTCAGACTCCTGCTCTGCACGGTGCTTCTACAGCCAATATATCGTATGCATTGGTCTTTTTAAACACTGTAAACGTATTCATTCGACAGAATAGTACTCTGAGGGAAAAAAATCGTGCTCCGTGTTTTTATTTATTAATCTGTTGGTTTTTTTTTTTGCCTTTCTCTCTCCTCCAACGGTCGCTCAGTGTGTGTGTCTGCTGGCTCCGAGTCGCTGCTGCTGCTGCTGCTTTTCTCTTGTTGTTTGTGTTTCAGAAAACATGGCCGTCCGTGTGACACCACGTGACTGTACATTGACAAGCGGAGAGCCAATGTCGGCGCAGCGCTAACACACCCCTGTTTACCAGCCTGGCCGCTAACTGGTGTGGACGTCTCTAAACGGCTTTCTGCTTTTATTTTCTAACGGGATTTGATTAATTAGCCTGTAAAGCTTTACGGAGAGTCCGGTTTTTGCGGGTTGCATTTGAAAACAAGGCGATGAACGTCTTTTGACACGTGTTTCAACACGAGGGGAAAACAAAGACGCTCCCTTAAAGATAAGGCTAAATTATTATGCCAAAATCATGACTTGTAGGGATACTTGTGAGGAATATTTTGTCAATTTGTGCAATTATAAGTTGGGGTGACTGCATGTGTGTAGAGTGAACACTAGAGGGCGCCATTGAACGTTCAAGAGCAACATAAATAGATCGTAAACCATTAACACGCAGGTGCGTCCCAAGAAATCCCAGAAATTTCGCGCACCCATTTGCAAAAAACAAAAAATCATGTCTTGTATGTTGTTTTTAAAGCAGGAAGACACATGCACATTTTATGATTTCTTTTTCAGTAACTGCCCATTATGTTCTTGTATTGTAAATTTGCCTTTACTCTGCAGAATATTTGTTTTATTTTCAGGTTTTGTACATTTTTATTAATGTGCAAATCTACATGCTTCAACTTGAGTAGCCTTGGTAAATTTTAGGAAGACTGTTCTGACATTGTTTTTGGACACTGTCTGAAACACTCATGTCTTTTTTCAGTAGAGTTTTACTCTTCATCTAGACTGTAACTGATCAAAAACACTTTGATGTTCTTGCTACATAGTGCGTCTTTCACATGTTAAGATCACTGGTGGCACATGGCTACTAATCTCCTGTTTCTGTGCATGATTTTTCTTTCCGCTAAAGATTAAATCTTGATTTTATTCAGTAAACGACCAGCTTCTTTAGCAATAACCCCTTGTGGCTTACCTTGCTTGTTGAGGATGTCATTGACTCCTAGACAACTATCAAGTCATTACACCATTATATTATTTATTAAAAATATGTGTCATTGGCACTGTGAAATATTCTAATATTCTAATAAATTTTATTTTCTTTTAGCTCCATCTGTACCATCCTCATAGTCATTGTCTCTCCTCTGAAAATGTCCAAACCATCTGAAATAGCATTGACTGTGTAAAAGGTCTTAGTGTCACCTTTTCTGCTGATGTACAGAAATAAAAGAATTTTTTTCATGCTAATATAAATGTCTGAGCATGTGCAGGGTTCATGCTGCGGGCGCTCTTAAACTACTAAGTGAACACAACAGAATTTAACTTTAAACATACTGGTTTTGTTGTCATTGAAGAAGCAAAACGTCTTTGAAACAAACACATTCCCTAATGTGCATGATGACCTTGTGATACTGTCACATCCAGAAAAGGTTTAAAATGGTGCAGAACATGTTTTCTGCACCATTTTACCTTGAAACTGTTTACTGAGACAAACTCACAGCTCTGTCAAAGTTTTATTAGAGCAATTAATTTAGATGAAGTTAACCATAATAACAGTTTGATACAACTTAAGAGGAGAACTTTAAAAAGAAAAAAGTGATAATATATATATGATCAACTGTCATTCATTCCTTAAAACATTGCCTGCTCAACTGAAACATTCCTTTCAGTCCAGAGTTGTTTAAATTGCTTAGAATGTGACGCACATTTTTCTGGACAATGCAAAGAGAAACAAAATGTCCTAAAAGTTTCAACAGATCAGTTTGGGTCAAAAGTCATTCAGCCATTTTGGTCCTGCATGTTGTTTATCCTGTCTGCTGAAAATGTTTACATGAAAATCAAATAGTTCAATAACACGGTAATAGTTATAACTGAAAGCTCAAATTTACTGATGCACAGTTTTACTCTTCATCTGTAACTCTGATCTGAAACACTTTGATGTTCTGGTTTGTAGTACATCTTTCACATGTTAAGGTCATTGGTGGCACAGGGCTACTAATCTCCTTTTTCATTCACTTTTGTACTGAAGACAAACTGGATGACAGTCTAAAATAGTTTGCCTCAATCGCCAGGATGTTTTGATATTTTTTGAAAACATAAAATTTTTTTTATCCTCTTTGCCATACTAATCTTGACCGCTGCTAAATAAGGTCACCAAGTTTGACCTACCGTCTAGCATAAACACACTTCCAAAATGTTCAACAACCCAAAGTTTTATTTCCAGTTAAAAACACTTTTACGTCTTTATGCCATATTTTAATGTACTTGTTGACTGGATCTCCCTTCCTCTGTGATTCATGAAGAATCACTTCCATTCATTCCTGACAGGTGGCTGTACTCGGAACAAGTTGTTCCTCTCAGCCCTGGGACACACTGAGCTGCATCGGAGAAGTAAAAGTTACCATGATTCATCTCACACGCGGAGGTAACGTTCCCCGCCTGGTCTGTGGTGGCTCAGGACCACAGGAGGTCGTTCTGTCAGTCCAACCAGTGATAGTCTTCGTCCCAAAGCTCAAACTTTCTGCAACAGCTCCACTGTTCCAGAGTGGAACTCCTCGTTCCTCTGTGGGCTGAGGTCTGGGACTTGACAGCTACTGCTGCAGCCGCCTCAACATTCAGACAGTTTCTCACCTCCATGTCAGTAAAACTCTAACGTTGCTTTGCAGGTTTGCACAGAAGAGATGCTGACCACTTTGCCTCTCCTGACAAATGACTTTGTGCATGTGGTGCGTGCCAAATGTCGCCACAAACCTCATGTAGCTTATCTCAGTTGTGTTGTTGTGCTGTGATGTTAGGGTCAAAACAGACTGGAGAAACTTTGTGTTGAGTGGAGGATTTTTTGCTCACATTGAAACCAAAGTGGAAAGAAAACAGTTTATTAGATAAATCCTTAAATGTGCCATAATATATGTCATGTTAAGATATTGGCTAGAGTTACACTGTGAATACATTTACATCTTTCTCAAACCATGTAAATTCAAGATTTATTTTGCAAAATCTTCTTACAATTAAAAACACTTAAAGATAGAACATTTAGTTTTGGATTATTTTTACCTTAAAGATTAAGTTTAACCCTGTTGTAGTACAACTTAAAGTTTAAACCTACATTAAAAGATATTTCAAACAATTTTCAAATCTACTGCTTGTTTTTCACAGGTTTTACGAAACTAAATGACGCCGAAATGTGTGAACAATTTGGTTAAAAAAAATCATACATGCAATAAAAAAGAAGAATTGTTGCTGGAAGAAAAAAATACAGCTATTTTCTTTCACATACAAAAATGTGAAGATTCCCCTTTTGCCAATCAGGCCTAATTAATTTCAAATTGATCAGTTAAGTCAATTTTATAACATAATCTGTTTTTTCTGTCTTTTTGTCAATACACTCATTTCAATATTTGTGTTACAGGCCGTGAGAATAAACTCACATGTAATTTTGGCTTAATGCCAACATGTAGTTTCTGAGAAACAAATAAAAAAAGATTTTATTTCGCTTTCAAAAGCTAAATAAATCAAAAGTTACAGGAAGTACTGACATAAAAATATATAAATGTTCAAACATAAGTTGCAAAAATTGAATGAAAACATTTCTTTTGCAGAGTTTGTCTGATTCAGATGCTTACCCCGACATGTCTGTCTTTACTCTGAGCTTCGTTATGAGTCGACTTTATGGAAGATGTTTATAGCTGCACATAAAGTCCCTCTGGTGAGCATCAAAGAGGAGTGAGAAATGATAATATTCTCCTAATATGGTATTATTTCTGTTTTTTATGTTTTCCTCACATGCCACTTTATACACACCACATGTTTTGCTTAAAGAGGAAGTTTTTCAGCATCTGGTTGGACACATAAACCAACGTCTTCAACAGAGGAACTCTGTTTTCAGTTTCTCTGGAAGAAGAAACCAAATGAAGAGAACATTCCGGAGCTCAGGCATCACAACACGGGAACTGTCTGGTTAGGTTTTAATTAGTTCATGCTGAAGGTGCGATCAGCTCAGGCTTTTGCAGAACTTCTTATCACAGTAAGCGACTCCTCAGACTGATAGAGAGGAAGAGGAAGTCTTTTAGTGTCTGACTGGACGTAAACAGAGCCAGCATCTTCAGCAGAGGAGACGTTTGATCACAGTTTGCCTGTCAGAGGGAAGCCACATGGGAGAACATTACGGAGCTCAGTCATCACAGCAGGGGACCCGTCTGGTTAGATTTTAAATAGTGCATGCCAAAGGTGTGATGGGTTCAGGTTTCTGCGCAACTTCTTAGCAAAGCTCATCAGATTCATTCATAAAGTATTTTAAACAGCCACTAGACCAAAATAGCCGTCACATGATGCAAATAATAAAATTAGAAAGACCTAAAAATAAGTTAAAACAACCCTGTAAAAGTAAAAAAAAAAAAAAAACAGCTGCTGAGGTAAAAATACAAAATGTTTCTGAACTGTTTCTGCTCAGAGGAGACTTCTGAAGGCAACTGGTTGAAGTGAATTGTTAGTAACAAAATAAACCTACCATAATAGGGTTTTTTTTGCATTCAGAGCTGTTCAGTTTCAGAGGAAATTATGGATTCATAATGGCCACTTCACTTTTTAGAAACTGGTTAAAGAAACACACTGGATTAAGATATAAAATGTACATATTGAAATATAGTTTGCTGTGAGTCTAGACTTATAAAACCATCTGAAGGAGACATCAACTTTTAAGAATATCATGTAATTTTAAGGATTTGCAAACACTGAAGGGAGAATTTAATCATCTTCTGGATTTCTTTTGTTTTTTGTTCATTTTAACGTGAATGGATGCAATGCGACTCACATGCCTGAGTCATTATGAAACATATGTTACTAATATTTATAATCAAAGATATTTAGAGATGTATATATCTACAATGAATGTCCAGTTTGAACGTAACTGGACATTCTACAATGAATGTCCAGTTTGAAATATAAAGTTGTATAAAGGATGTCCAAGAGTGCAGAGTTTTATTGCCATACAGTGAGCTCAGTGATGCTGGGCTGCACTGTAATTGTTGGACCAGATAAGTTCTAACCAGCCAATGAACCAGCTCTAAAACTCTGGTGATTTGCATACTATGTCTGCATCAAGCTTCCATTACATTCCAGTAGACTGAGAGCAGCAGCAAAAGCAGGAAAAATCATTCAACTGAGCGGCGGCCATGGTGGAGTTTATTAGTGGAAGACATTCCAAGCCCTGTTTGCTTCAGTTTCCACACCATGCGTTTGTTTTGCGCCTGCATCCTGTCCTGCTCAGTGTTGATGGTGAGCGCCGCCGTGTCCAACAGCTTCAGAGACTGCAGACATTTTTTCTACATGCAAACGCCTCCAGCAGGGATCCGAGAGACGAGCCTGAGGAAGATCTGTCAGAAGTATGCCGACAAACTGCGCTACGCCACCTTGTACGACAGCAGTCGGCGTCTCCCGCTGTATTCAGCTTACATTTTTAAGAAGTCTGATGGGAAGAGGAGGGCAGACACACCGTGGATGTACGAGCCTCAGGTAGAGGAAGCAGAGCAATGTGGGATTCATTTGAAAAGTTTTGATGAAATCTCTTGAGTCATAGAATAATGACTAAACATGTATTTGATAATGGTGGCAATTGTTGTAAAGGTTATTCAAAGTTTTTATTGCATAAGATCAAACGGATAATGATGACATAGCTACTACACAATTCCTGCACCTTAAATGATTACCTATACCTATAAGACATAATAAATTATTTGAGATAAAATTGTCTAAGTCAGTTCTTTCTAAAGTTTGGGAAAGGACCCTGACTGTGATTGCAAATCAACAAGTATGGTGTTTGTGTTGCACTAAGAAACAGTAGCACAGTATTTATGCACTCCAAAAATAATAAACTGCATTAAAATTGAGAAAAAAATTATCTTTTTTAATTATGTTTCTCTTGGGAATATGTTTTCTCTCTCTAACCTGCAGCTGGTGTCTGAATCGGAGAGCAGCAACATGAAGGTGCTTCCTCTGACCAAAGACATTTCTCCTCTTGTCGAGGAGAGCCAGACAGTTTTGGAGGACTACATAGATGCTGTAGAATACAGACGAGGCTCACTGAACCCTGACCAGCACCAAGCAGACCCAGATGACAAATCCTCTACCTACACCCTCACCAACGTCGTTCCTCTGATCGCTGATTTCCTGGAAACCTCCTGGAGTTCGTACTTGGATACTGTCCGCCGACGCCTCAACAACTTCTGCCACGGTAAATCTTACATCGTGACTGGAGTCACTTTTTCAGGGGCCACCGTCAAGCGCGACAACAGGGACCGTCTTTCAATACCAAAACACGTATGGATGGGATACTGCTGCCCCAAGTTTGACCGTAACTCACCCTATGAGGTGAGGTTCATGTTCCCTAGTTATGGCGGCTACGCCCTGAATGAACAGACAGGCAACAATGTGGTGGAAGTGCCATTAAAGAAACTGGAGACTTTCCTCAAGAGCCAAACAGATGTTGAAAAAGACATGACTATTTTCTACAAGGGCTGTGTGTCAGAAAACACCATCGAAAAGAAGCGAAGAGAGGCTGGACCCTGAATGACTGAGAATGTCCCAAATGTACTCGAACCAGAACAGTGTTAAAATATAAGGCTAGCTTGCTTTGATTAAAATTAAGTTTTTATATATGTTAGAAAGCAAAGACTGTTTAAAAGCTAAACTCTTTCTCAACTTGGCCGCAGAGGCTATATTGAGATTGTGTCTGCATAAAGTAGTGTCTGTGGGATGCCTTGTGCTTCGTATGCAATAAGTTAAAAAAAAAAACAAGAGGGAAAAGAAAAAACAATAAAATCAATGCTAAACGGATAGATTCTCCAACTTTTATTGTCATTGCTGTTATTGCAAAGTTTAACAAAAATGAAAGTAACAACTGTTTTTCCACTTTTCACATAGAATTCATCAGGTTCGGTGATGTGATTACTGCCTGATCCCAATGTTTTAGATGCAACATTACTGTTGATTCCTGTATAGCTGATGTAACATACAACTGACATTAGGACCCTTATGTGGATTATAGTGGAAGATTATATCCTACTCTTTTCATTCTTTTGTAAATTACGGTGGGTTTGGACTTTATTATTAGACAATTATTTTCTACCCATGTTTTCTCAAAAAAAAATCCTATTATTTTATATATTACCGGATTGCGTATAACTTTAGCCTATTGCTTGAAATATCAGGCTTGATTAAGCTTGTGTCTTTACAAGAAAGCTTGACTGCATCACTACATCGACTGAAGGTTTTTCTGTCATCCTTTCCCACCAGTGAAAGACAAACGTGATCACTGGCTGTCGAATGTTTGACTTTGGTGGGTGGAACTGCAAGGACGGCATTGCTTTACATACTGTCTCCAGATTACACAGAACACTTCACACCAAGTGTGAAACGCGCGCTAGCTTTTCCACTGAGACACACTCAGTTACTGACTAAAACGCTGGACATTCAGCAGCTTTTGGACTCGGATCAGAAACTTTGGATCACATTTGGATGATGGCATTTTGGCTGCAGATGGGTTTCCTGATGGCCAGCCTGACATCTTCAGCGGTGAGAGGGCGAGTAGAAAAAGAGCTGTCTCCAGAGTGCAGAGAGTTCCTCTACATGAGAACCCCACCGAAAGGCCTGGAGCTCCCATCCGTCAAGTACATCTGCCAGTTTTACCACAAGAAGCCGCGCTACGTGACTCTGTACAGCACGGAGGATCACATTCCCATCTACTCCGCCTACACCTTTAAGCATTCGGATGGGGAGATGTGTGTGGATGTTCCCTGGATGTATGAGCCACAGGTAAGGAAAACTAAAACACTGAATCAAGAAGCCACTATTTTGCTTTTTAAAAATGTTTAAAACATGCCAGTTGACATGTATTAATTTTAAGCTTAACATCTTCTTTGCTTGTTCTTTATTTTTGCACAGTTGTCCACTTCTTTTGACACAGACGAGATGCAGCCCTTTCCACGTGGTTACGTGCACATGAACTTTGAAGACGCCCAAGCGATTCTGGACGACTACACCAACGCCATACACTACGAGCGAGGGACCCTGAACCCGGACGAGCATCAGAACGAACCCGACGACAAGGCCTCCACTTACACCCTCACCAACGTCGTCCCCGTGGTGTCCGACTTCAACGACGGGATCTGGAAAAAACAGGAGCACATCGTCCGCAAACGGCTCAACAACTACTGCCGCGGGAAGGCCTACATAGTGACCGGGATCACCAAGTCAGGGAAGACGATCCACAGGGAAAACATGAACCGTATCGCAATTCCCGACTACCTGTGGTCGGCTTACTGCTGCGTTGACTATGACCACAACACGCCGTACACGGAGCGATACAAGTTCCCTTCTTTTGCTCACGACGCTCTCAATGAGGATGAGAACAACGAGATAGTAGAGACCTCCGTCCCAAAGCTCCGGGAGTTTCTCAGAAAGACGTTTGTGAACGAGAACTTTCAGATTTTTGTAGGAGACTGCAATCCCCAATCATCCATGAAAAGTGATTAAGAAAAGTATTTTGAAATGAGGAAGCTAGATTGTAAATTTGAAGAATAAATTAAGCTCCACTGTATCCAAATCTCTTAGTATACTACAGCAGCTTACCAGAATAAAATATAAGCAAATAAACAGAATTTAATTGTGAACTATATTAATATGTGTGTTTGTTCTACACATATTAATGCTTGATATAATATGTGAAAATGGTTGCAGAACTTTCAAGATGACTGTCAGACACGTTACGACTTCTGTTCATAAAATATATCAAACCATTCTGAACCACCACTCATACAAAGAAAATCCCCAAAATCCTCACTTAATAGAAACAGAGCATAAAAGTGAAATATGAGATATTTTCTACTTTTGGACGTCTTCAGCTCATTAATCAGCAAACGGACCAGAGAAGGATAATATGCAGCATAAGGGAAGATCAAACCTCTGACCGATTCAGAAAGTGTTCCTCAAGCATTTGTTTCACCTGTTTGAATGTCTTCCAAAGGTTATTTTCTTGTCATGTTCAGAACTCTGAATTTTTTTTGCGTAATTTTATCCAATTATCAACCGCTCTGTAACTGCATCAATATGTTACATTGTAATAAACCGTTCAATCAGACTGTCTTTGGAGGCTTTCTTTTCAAACATGAAGTTAAATAAACACTGTCAGCTGTCCCTACTGGATGTCGTAGCTTGTACTGGAAAAACACTTTTTTCTATTACATCAGGTTCTCAAAAGCACTGTCTCTTTTGAAAACCAGTTTGATGAAAACTAGTTCCATAAACGTTTTCTACCTTTCAAGAGAAAAAGTCAACAGTTTGGCCGTGAAAGCTCAAGGAGTGCTGATTCATTGATCTCATCTCATTCACGCTGATAATATTGAAATATTGGATCAGGAAATAATGTTTTCAACTGCAGCGACTTTGAACGCTGATCAATACACTACGATGAGACATATAAACAATAAACCAATAAAAGTTTAATAAATAAAATAGAAAAACAGCTCAAAGTTGAGAAACCTTTTGTTTTTTCAGTGCTAATTAAATCTCTCATGAATGTTAAAGTTTTTCAACCATTATTTTTAAATTAAATTCTGGTAAACATGTTTTTTTTCAGAATTTTGAAAAATTTTCTTTACAAATGTGAATATGGTTCTACATAAAGTTCCTGTTATGCCATTTAGATCATGAATCCATCATCAATACAGATGAATAAATCTTCTACACATCACAATAGTCATGTTGTGAGACTAGAAATATTGCATAATAAGGTCTTATCAAAAAGGTTACAACTAGATATGAGATTAAGCCTCTGAAATGTTGGAAATTAACCTTAAAAAAGACATCTACTCTAAACATAGGCATCCACAGATCAACATTTTGTGTTGTTGCTGTTTTTATCTATTGATTGTTATTGAACTTCTTGATAGAAAGTTATATAGAATTTGAGTGAATGTCTTAAAATAAGTTAATACAGATTGGAGAGTGAAAGTCATCAAGCTGCTGAGCAGGAGAGTCAGAAGTTTAAGTATATTAAACCTATAATTTGTAAAAGCATTATTAGAATATTCAGCTTAATCAAATGGCTATATTCTTGCATAAAATGGAAGAAGAAATCCATTTCTTCTTCCATTTTATGGAAGTGAAATTCAACTCAAATGCAAATGCAGGACTGAAACCATTACTATTACACCTCTATGTATGCTACTATGTCATGTCACCAATGTGGAAAAGAGGCATGATAAAATGCTCTCAGTGTCTGATAACATTCACTGCCTTTAAACTAATACAGCTACACTTGTTACAATTTGAATATATGGAAAGACCTCACAATGGGAGGTCAGTTAAAGCACAGATGAGCCAGGAAGGGAAATGTTGAGTTTGATAGAGCTGAAACCGAGGCTGTACCTTTTAGACGTAGATGACTTACAGCCTGGAGGATCACAAAGATCTACAGGAGCAGAGAAAAACAAGCTGCAGAGATGAGAGCCACATCTGCAAACCGTGCCGTTTCCCTGACAGCTGTTGTGATGGTGCTAACCTCTGTACTGCTGCAGGGAGTCCAAGCAGGAGTAGTGAGTGACTTCAACCATGCAGAGAGCTGCAAGGACTCCCTGTATATGGGAACCCCACCAAGAGGTTATCTAAACAACGCCTTTAAGAAGATCTGCCAGAGGTACGAGGATAAACCACGCTACGCCACAGTGTATGACCCCCGCAAACACATCCCCATCTTCTCTGCGTACACGTTCAAGAAGTCAGACGGAGAGAAGAAGGTGGACTTCCCCTGGATGTTTGAGCCTCAGGTGAGTTTTAATTCATTCTACCACAAAATACTATTTTAGTACTTAAATTTGAGATAGATTTTAGTTTAAATGTCGATGGAGATCCTTTAGCAAGGTATCGTTTGCATTTTGTAGACAACTATTACTTAGGCCAGCTTGAGATAAGCTACCTTGATGAGTACAAGATAAGTCTAAATTAGATATTGTCACTAATGCCACATATACAAACCTATCTTTCTGAGATTGTAGTTTCATTTTTCTTGTATCAACAGTTGGCATCCGAGAAGAGTAGCAGCAACATGGAGCCTTTCCCCCAGTCTACAAGAATGCACATGAACTTCGAGGACACCCAGGCCGTCCTCGAAGATTACGCCGACGTTGTCCAGTACGAACGCGGACAACTAAACCCCGACGAGCACCAAGCAGACCCTCTGGACAAGGCCTCCACCTACAGCTTGACAAACGTGGTTCCTCAAATAAGGGAGTTCAACCTGGGCCCATGGGCCGAACACCAGGACATCATCCGCAAACGACTCAATAACTACTGCAGAGGAAAGGCCTACGTTATCACCGGGGTCACCACCTCCGGACACACGATCCGCCGCAACAACATGGACCGGTTGGCCGTGCCAGAGTACATGTGGTCGGCTTACTGCTGCACGGAGTTTGACCAGAATGCACCGTACTTTGTGCGCTACAAGTTCCCCGTGTTTGGAGCATACGGGCTGAACGACCGCGTCAACAACCAGATGGTGGAGGTTCCCCTGAAGAACCTGGAGAAGTTCCTCAAAGGGAGGATGGATGTGGACAAGAACTTCCAAATATTCTATAACGACTGTGTGCCAGAAAACTAAGGAGATTGATGTAATAGCAGCTTTTAAGTGTGTTATTAATTTAAAAAGATAATTTTAAGAATAAGTCAGAGATTGACATACCTGGTATTTAAACTCTATCCCATATTTGAGAAATTTGAATTTGATGTTTTGCCCCTTATTTTACTTAGTAATAAATATTTGGTTTATCGTAATTCTTTCATCAAATAAATTATAGAAATATGTAAAAGTGGTCAAAGACAAGTCTTTATATTATATATTTGCGAACAGAATAAAAACAAGGAATTGTCACACTTTTAATTCAACATTTATTTCGATTCTAATAAAGATCCAATGTCTACCCAAAATGTTTGAGATTGTTATTTGGCCTATGATTACAATGTATAATGTAAATTAATTCACATGATACAGACAGTTTGGATTTTGAAGAAGGAAATTAACTTCTTAAATAATTGTCTGAAGTGGGTGTGTGACAGGAACAGACTTATGAGATACTTTCACACTTCAACCACTAGATGGCACTCATGTTACAACATTCTGTCCACTGGAACAATATCAGGTCTCATATTCCCTTCGTAGCGGTCTGAGGCAAACAGAGGTTATAAAACGAGGACTGATCCAGAGATGAGACTCGTTTCCAAGCCACCCAGCCTCTCCTCTGCAGCTCTGTCTTCTCCAGTTGTCTCCCATAGTAGTGAGGATCAACAACAAGCAAATAGCTCCCTCTGTCCCCAGTACAAACTCCTAATATACCCTTGGAGGAATTGTCCCTGTCTCCTCCCATCATGACAGGAGAACCGTGCTTTTCAAAGTGTTGATGGAGCTCCTCCACTGCAACCTGCTCCAGCTCTGCTCCTCCCCCTCTGACATGCACCACCTTACAGGGGACGTCACAGAAGTAGTCCAGCACCAGGGAGGCTTCAAATGTCCCAATCCACTCCCTGGAGCCTGAGAAGGAGCCTGGCTTGTCCCCCATTGTCACCAAGGCTTGCTGGATCTGTGGTAGGCTTGGAGCGATTCTGTTCTGGTTTAGAACTGGGGACCTGTTCAGGGAAATCCAGGACGCCATGGTTTGAATGGTTCGGTATCCACAGCCCCAGCCTCTGTCGTCCTGTCCATCACAGCCGTAATGGAAGTACAGATAGTCTCCTCTGACCAGGGAGAGTTTCTCTGGATCCGCCAGTGGACCGGGCAGCTCAGTGTGAACGTTCTTTAATAAAGTCTCTGTCTTCTGACAGAGACTTTTCTCCTTTTCACAGGAACCCCAATCTATATCAGACGCCATTTATATTGTCTCGGAGTCCAATATTTAAAAAAATGTTATCGAAAAACAAGAAAAAAAAACCACTCACCGGTCCAAACTGTTCTACTTCCGGGTTAAGACGGAACACTTCCTGTTGTGCTCAGGAAAACATGATGGCGGCCACGTAAAGCGACGTTTTTGCTCGACTCTGTTCTCTGAAGGTAATTATGCTCTAACTATTGACAGTTTGTCGGTATGAAACAAGGAACCACAGCGCTGAGGTACTGAGTCAGGGCGGTTTAATTTCATTTGAGCCGTTACGTCATCTGGAGTAACGGCTGGTTGGACGCTGGTTTCTCTCCGAACAGAAATGATACAGTTAGAGAAGAGATCATGTAAGACCTTCGTTAATGGAACATGCGACTATCGGATAGGTGGGAAAACAAGCAACATGTAGCACGGTTTTGATGCTCCGCTTCCAGCGTGTATGTGGGTAAAGTACCGGTGCTGTTTGAAAACAATCTGTTCCACCTCCATAACAAATTAATTTACTAGCAGGCCTTTAGCTGGGTTTACTCCTTCCATCTGTTCCCCTTTCATAGTTTATACGTTTAATAAAAATTTGGAAAACAAAAATATATTTGTTAGTGTTTAACATCCTGAACTAGAGGAAAATTAGATCATTTAAATTTCTGTATTTTATATTCATTCTTCACTTCTTTTGTTATCAATACTTAGATTAAAAGTGATACATTTTCCTGTCAGGAAAGAGTTTATCATTTAAAAAGGAAATGTCTCCTGGTATTTTTCAGTTTTTTTCTGCTACAGTTTTATGGGTGAGAGAGAATGAAAGGATAATAGTTAGCATGTTGGTGTTTCAGTTGCTTCAATTTTATACTTTTATCTTAAAATAGTTGCCTCCAAATCTGATCAATAAGTATTCTCTTAAATACTGACCACAGTTTTGTGTCTGGTCCTGTTGTTTGGCAACTGTTACTGGTTTCCTTCTTACTAAATGACACCTACTTTTCAATTAAGTTTTTTTTAAAGCTAATTTATTTTGTACTTCACTTGCTCATCAATAATTGGTTTATGTTTTAATCAGTTTGCCACATGTTCTTTCCGTCAGCCTTCTTCTTCTGGATCTTCACTGTTCATTCAGAAACATGACTGAACCACGCAACCCTGGGATGTCCAACGTCTCCCAGAGTAACCCGTCCCACGCGGAGTCCAGCTCCCAGGCCGTAGAGATGGATCCAGTGGAGTACACCTTGAGGAAGCGTCTCCCCCGGAAACTTCCCAAGAGGCGGAACGACGTCTACGTTAACATGAAGACCGACTTTCGGGCCCAGCTGGCGCGCTGTCAGAAGCTGCTGGACGGTGGCGGTCACAGGGAGATCTGCGTCCACGGTTTGGGCCTCGCCATCAACAGAGCCATCAACATCGCCCTGCAGCTGCAGGCCAGCAGTCAGGGCGCTCTGCAGCTGGCGGCCAATACCTCCACAGTGGAGCTCATCGACGACCTGGAGCCCGAAGATCCTGACGAGGCGGGGGAGCCCATGACACGTACACGCAATAACTCAGCCATTCATATTAAAGTTTTCTATCCTGATCCTCAGTGACCTGAAGGTACCATCTGTTGTATTTCTATTGTGGTCTTGTTGGACATTTTTTTGTTTGGACTCATGGTTTGAAGAGCAAGACAGCATGTGTGTGTTTACAAGTGAATCATTAAAATCCTCCTATTCTTTACTTGTTTAATGTATTATATTTGCCTGATGAGGAGCAGAAGAAACACATGTAAACATGTACAACTACTGATGTATTTCATTGTCCACTGGTTTGCATGTCTTTAAAAAAATCATAGAAAAATGTATCTTTCAAATGTTGAAGTGAGTGCTGTTACTGTTAATGTCCACTAGATGTCAGTGTTCAGCTCCAGTGAGTCTTTCAGCGGCTAAACTTCAATGAATCTAATTGGTTAAATGATCATTGTTTACATTATAGAGTTCAGTGAAGGGTCAGCGAGACATGAACTGAATTTATTTGTTGCTTCTCCTTTAAAACAGGTTTTTGTCGTTACCATGATCAAAACTGATCCACTTAAGATTCTGTATTTGGTTTAATAAAATAAAAGTTGCTTGAAACGTCTTCAAATTCTATTTCTACATCATTGGGAGAAAAAAAAAATACAGGATATATGTAAGACGTCCAATTCAAGGCAGAAGCGTCATGAACTCGGTGTGTGCAATGTCAGGTGTTTGGATTTTAGCAGCAGGCCTCCTACTAACAGATAAATGAACAGACTTCCTGTTGTCGTATTTTCATCTGCCCTCTCTTTATCCAAGAAAAATATTTTGCATTTAAATAGTGGATTTTGCAGCGATGGGACAAAACAATACAAAAAAACAGGAAAGAAAATAGACATGCATCCTCAAAAACATCTTCCATTTGCACAGCAACATATTAAAATACAGGAAAATAAACAAGGAAGAATACTTAATTATTGTGAAACAGCTGAGCATCCCTTCAAGAGAGAAACCTACAATTCCCAGGGCTAGAAGATTGCATGTTTGAGGACATACGACAGAGAAAGGGGAAAAAACAAGTGTTAGCGTCAGTTTCTGGAAAAAATGTTTGCAAATACAGCTCTACAGGATGTTAATTGTAAAATTTTCCAGGCAGTCTGGCTATCAGCGTATGGAGCCAGGATGAGTGTTGGGGTTAGACAGAAACTGAAACACAGATAACGGTCCACAGTTCCCATGTAACCCACTGCAGTGACCTCCGGCTCTCACTCCACAACTATCAGCTTTGCATACCTCCAACAGGCCTGTGAGAGAAAACCCTGCAGTGTAACACAGACGTTCAGATGCAAACTTTGAAAGAAAAAAAAAAAAAGGAAGAGCAGCTTTATATGGCAAATCAAGAGTAAGTCTTTGCACGTGTGCAAAATTTCCAGTGTACAAAAAGTGAGCATGACAACGTGCTTTTTTTAAACCTGTAAGAACCTGTTACACAAAGACAGTAGCCTAAAAATAGAAAATCTGTATAAATAGTTTCTACACAATAAAAATATTTACTGACCAATTCCAACAGACAAGACTAATATATCTCTGAGGCATAGTTAAATAACAGTTGAAGGCATGTTGGTGAAGTCCCAATGTCGCTTCTTTGCAACCTAACAGTCCTATCAATATTTCCAGCGTTTTTCACTCTTATTTTTCCAGTATGAACAGACAAACACGCCAAAAAGTTCAGTCTCAACTCACACAACATTAACATCCACTAAAAAAGTGCAAGAGCGTGCCTGTAGAACAGCAATTGGAGCAGAGCTTTCCAAAGGCAGCTTTTTGGTAAAGGTTTGCTTCAACACGTCCACGAGACACAGTTACATTCCATTGCGCAGTCGTCTCCAGTCCGTCCAAAGCCTTGCTGGGAGAGTCCTTTCCCTCCAGCCTCCTCCTCATAGTCGAGGACCCATCCCACGCTGCGTCCAGCTGCCATTGCGCAGGTTAACACAGTCAAGTTTCTCCACTTGCCTTTGGAAACACAAAGTACTTTTGTCTTGGAGTGAGCCTGTCTCCTGATCAGCTGGCCTGTTGCTGACAGGCCTGTGCGTCCACAAGAAGAAGGCGGACTTTGCCTCGCAGGAAATTGAGGTGAACTTGAAGCAGCTCTGCAGCTGTGGACACCCGCCATGTTCCCTCCGGTCCCACTGTACTGGCAGGTGGGGTATATTCCTGGAAACGAATACAAAGAATCGTGATGCAACCCAAATACAGACAGCTCTTTCAGTTTACTAAAGCCAAAGAGCCATTTTCAAAGGCAGTATTGTTTCTACAGTGACCTAAAAACTGTCTGGCAGAGTTTCATTCGTCACCTTTTTAAAAGATGAAGGATGAAATGTTGTCTCATGATGTCCTTCAAGTTATTCATTGCCTCTTTTGAACTTTTGATAAAACTGAAATCAATTGAATCAACTGACATCAATTGAAATAATAGGTCATGGTGGGCCATGCTTATTACAACTATTTAAATCTAAATAGTTGGATTCAAACCCAAGACCTTCTTGACAAAAGGGAACAGCATTGACAACTGCTCCACTGTGCAGCCTCCTTTTGGTTCTCTTGTATGAAATATAGAAACTGTAGTTTTTTTCTCTGGAAGAAACTTGCATCTGAGATATCTGTCAAAGATAAAAATGTGAAATGCAAACTTGTTTTCTCACAGTCCACAAATTGTTAAGAACCTTAAGAATTAATATACTTAAACCTAAATAATTACTACACCACTCAGTGCCATTTCGCAGCAGACTTCTACTCTGTTGGCCTTCATTTGGAAAAATCACATCTAACTACAAATGTTTGGACATGATTTGCAGCATCAGATTTGGTGAAAACCAAACAGTGCATGTTAGTGGAGGTGGATGACTGACTCACTTTCGAGCTGCATGACTTGCACACCTTGCAGGCAGTGAGTCAACAAACAGCTCGTTCATGTACTAAAGTATTTTAACATCAAATACGAGCCCATCTGTCAGACGGCCAAAGCTGGGACCAAACTGTGTCAACAGGACAATGATCTCAAACACCGCAGCAAATCTACAACAGAATGACTAAAAATGAAAAGAATAAAGGTGTTGCAATGGTCCAGTCAAAGTTCAAATTCTCAAATCGACAGAAGTACTTCCCTGGGACCTATGCATTTCCTGGCTCATCACATCTTCAGTGACAAAGATTCACTAGAGAAAACCCTTACTACTGAATCTTGGTCTGTTTTTTTTAATAAAAGTGTTTTCTTTCTAGTTTTACTCCCTTATGTATTCAAATCTTTAGCTTCATCCGTTAAAAATGCAAACTCCTCAAAAGAAAGACCCCAGTTGGGCTCTGAAGCTATTGCCTCTTTGCTGTAGCGTAGAGTACAAACTCTGCAGCCCAAATTTTTATTCTATCAGTTTAAAAAAAAGGTTTTAAGAAATGTAGCATACATTCCTGTTTAAGTTTCAATTGCACAATGACTTACCTGAAAGTTGAGGCTTCGTAGAACAGCGGTGA